TACCAGGAGATCTACTTGCCGATTTAAAATACGCAGATAAAATCGCTGATTAAATGCTGAGTATTTTGGTAACACTGAGCAACAATACCAGGATGTTTGGGATGCGTTTCTCTCCCTCTAAATGCAAGTTTTTGCTTCAAGACTAGTTTGCGTCAACACTGGGACTAGGGATAGGGAGCTCCCGAAATGCCCTGGTATGGCCGATAGTGGGGCGGTTTCGCCCTCCCTCTCAAAATTCCCTCACACGGCTACGTGTATGCAGCCTTTGCCAGGGAAGTCCTACTCATTGCCTTCTCGGCGCTTTAACCGGATCCCAAACCAATGGTGCACATAGGCTCCAGTATCCTTCGGGAACAAACGGCGTATGAACCAATCGTTGGCCACCGGCTACCATGGGAATGCATCTCCTCACGATGCTCCACTGCCTTGTGGATCAGACCTTTAGGTCAAAGGCTCGGGTGCCCCCCTAAGAAAACTACCTGCTTCGGTTTGGGCACCCGGGCAGTATCACAGCCCACACACAAATATAGTGTGGCGCATATCTATTTGGTGCCCTCTTGTACTGATGTTTATGTGTTGAAATAAATAATAAGGGATAGGGAGTGAAGTAGTCAGACGCGTTAACAACTTCACTTATCTTGTAAGTTTGATCAACCCTAATGAGTTGGTGTCTGACGAAATCTCAGCACGGATTCGAAAAGCCCGTTTGGCTCTTGTCAACTTACGTTACCTATTGCGAAGGCGAGATATCAGTCTATCAATTAAGGGACGAGTATACTGTGAAGCAATTCGTTCTGTTCTATTTACCGCTGCGAAACATGCCCATCATGAGTAGAAGATACTCGTAAGCTACTAGTATTTGGCCACAGATGTCCTTGAAATATTGCTCGCATCTCCTGGGATCACCAGGTAAGTTATAGTGAGGTTAGACGCAGGGTATTAGGGAATGGTGGCAAATCAGTTGATTAGGTTGCGAATCTTCATCGTCTGAGATGGTTGGGCCACGTGTTGCGTATGACTGAACACCGATTACCATGACGCGCAATGCTGACTAGTGTTGGGGACGGATGGAAGAAAGTTAGAGGGGGTCAAATCAAAACGTGGCATTAGTGTTTGAAGTCACTAACTTCTAATCTGGGCCATGTTGGTAGATACAGACTACATGATTGGGGTCCGCATGACTATCGCAACCAATGGTTGGAGACTCTCAGAATCGATCACAATAGCGTCGGTGTATACACTCTGTTTTCCCTTAAACTAAGAGATTAAAATCGCTTCATATCTTTCTTTCTACAAACTAATTCTTCCTTCCTGTATTTTATCCTTATTGCAGCCTTTCTTTTATGTGTTACTGACTGACTTACTTACTTACTCCCGTTACTCCTAATGGAGCATAGGCCGCAGACCAGCATTCTCCAACCCACTCTGTCCTGGGCCTTCTTTTCTAGTTCCATCCAATTCTTGTTCATTTTTTCTCATGTCTATTTCCGTTTCCCGGCGTAGTGTGTTCTTTGGTCTTCCTCTTTTCCTTTGGCCTTGAGGATTCCATGTGAGGGCTTGTGTTGTGACGCAGTTGGGTGCTTTCCTCAATGTTTGTCCTATCCACTTCCAGCGCTTCTTCCTGATTTGTTCCTCCGCTGGGATCTGGTTTGTTCTCTCCCACAGTACGGTGTTGCTAATAGTGTGTGGCCAACGGATCTGAAGTATTTTGCGTAGACAACTGTTAATAAACACCTGTATCTTCTGGATGATGGCTTTCGTAGTTCTCCAGGTTTCTGCCCCATACAGTAGAATTGTCTTGACATTTGTGTTGAAAATCCTGACCTTGGTGTTGGTTGACAGTTGCTTTGAGTTCCAGATGTTCCTCAGTTGTAAATATGCTGCTCTTGCTTTGCCGATCCGCGCCTTCACATCTGCATCAGATCTACCCTGTTCATCGATGATGCTGCCCAAATACGTAAAGGTTTTTACATCTTCCAAATCTTCTCCGTCAGGTGTGACTCGGTTGTTGCATGTTGTGTTGTATCAGAGAATCCTGCTTTTCCCTTTGTGTATATTGAGACCTACTGCTGCTGAGGCTGCTGCCACACTGTTCGTCTTCTGCCTCTGTTGTTGCGTTTGGGATAAAAGGGCCAGATCATCTGCGAAGTCTAGATCCTCCAACTGCATCTTAGATGTCCACTGTATCCCGTGTTGCCCTTTAGATGTTGGTGTCTTCATGATCCAGTCGATCACCAGGAGAAAGGGAAAGGGTGAGAGTAAGCAACCTTGCCTGACACCGGTCTTCACTTCGAACGACTTTGTCAACTGTCCTCCATGCACAATTTTGCAGTGCAATCCATGATATGAGTTCTGTATGATATTAACTATCTTCTCAGGCACGCCGTAGTGTCAAAGAAGTTTCCATAGTGTTGTTCTGTCCACGCTATCAAATGCCTTTTCGTAGTCAATGAAGTTGATGTAGAGTGATGAATTCCATTCACTTGATTGTTCCACAATCATCCGTAGAGTTGCGATTTGGTCTGTACACGATCTATCCTTACGGAATCCTGCCTTTTGGTCACGAAGTTGGGCGTCTACGCAGTCCTTCATCCTGTTTAACAATACCCTGTTGAAGACTTTTCCCGGTATTGAAAGAAGAGTGATGCCCCTGTAGTTATTACAGTTGCTGAGATCTCCTTTCTTTGGTATTTTGATCAGAAGTCCTTCTTTCCAGTCTTTTGGTACTTGTTCCTCATCCCAAATCTTATTGAAGAGAATGTGGAATATCCTTGCAGTTGCCGCTACGTCTGCTTTTAGTGCCTCTGCTGGGATGTTGTCCGGTCCTGGTGCTTTTCCACTCTCGATTTGCCTGATGGCCATGCTTATCTCTTCAATTGTTGGTGGGCCAACATCGATTAGGAGGTCCGTGTGTGCTGCTTCGATGTTGGGTGGGTTCAGTGGGGCTGATCGATTCAAGAGTTCTTTGAAGTGTTCTACCCACCTGTTTTGTTGCTCTTCAATGTTGGTGATTACCTTGCCTTCCTTGCTTTTCACTGGTCGTTCTGGTTTGCGGCGATTTCCAGAGAGTTTCTTTGTTATGTCATACAGTTGTCTCATGTTTCGTTTTATATATTACCACCAGTGAATTAACTACTATGAATTTGGTGTTCGTCTTGTAGTGCTAATAAGGCTTGGCAACTTGGACCGATGCATATTTGTGCCTGGTCCTACGTTGTAGCTGACTGACTGTTCAAAACTTTGTAGGATTCAATTCGTTCTATAGATATTTTACCCGAACTGTAAATGCGATACTGTCAACCCAGAGTTTATGTGAAAGCCATGGTCAGGGCAAGGGTAATTTGTCTTCACACTTTATCTTTTTTTATACCCACCAGTGTTGCGTGTCTTATCGAAATGAATAATATGAGCTTTAGTCACACTGTAGTGAACGAGAACATAAGTGGGTACAATCGAATGCATTTGATCACAAAATTACAGAATCTGTTAGTGAAATCTGGGAACCATACGTAAATAGTTCATTTGCAAAATGTCAATCAGTTGTCTCAGATCTGACTGTTCCTTCATTTCTACAGCATTCATTCTTTGTTCTCACTCTCTTTTCCTTGATCTTCTTAACCTTCTACCTCCAGGCATTTCACTTTTGATTGACGATACATACTACTTATATCTATCGACGTCAATAGCACACATCTCAACACTAATATAATAGAATAATCTTGTCCTTCAATTGGCAGGTAAAATGCAACAGGGATAGCCTAAAGACACATCAGACCAGGTTAACGTGGTGGGCATTTAGGCTGAGATTTGATTGGTTAGTTATGGGAATAACTAACAGTGTATATTATTTCGGTACTGAGTTATACCAGTATTCATACGTATTAAGTAAAGGAAACGACGGTGGATATTCGGCAATGTAGAACACATCTCAACAAAATGTGATTTTTCTTTCAACCTTTCGGATAGAGCTGACAAAAGCTGATTCTAATTACGACTATGTATATACACCTAGTAGTTGAAGAGCAAGGATATTAGTGTTCCCTTCATCAATATTAAATAAACCAGGAATTTGCAGTTGTTAATGGGCGTGAAGTACTATTACCAGACTATGAATCCATTATTTAGTGGGAAAAAATAACAATTTCTAAAGCCAAAGTACTGTATCACTGACTAGTCAATACTAAGCTCAGCCTGCAGAACCTCTGAAGTAACTAACAGCCAGGCCTATTAAAAATGGAGGTTTGGGAGAGAGGTTAGCAACTCCATCTCATGAAAAACCCGTTAACAATACCCTAACCAGCGTCAAACAACTAGGCGATTCAAACTCTGCTCTGGAAGTTTATGGGAGTTACGACGCCTCGCAGTGAAAGCCGAGACTTTGGAAGCCACTAAACCAGTGGCCCTTCTGACAACCAGGTCAACAGTAAACATAAGAACACGGAATGTCCGGACGACGTGTTAGGCTGGGAGCTGATATCGCTTCAGATCAGCGCTTGGTAGCGACCAAGCTATAAGACATTGGGTCGTTAGACAAACGGGCGTACGATGTTCAGTACAATATTCCTTCGACATGCCAACAAGCTCAGCGAGTTCATGGTTCTAGGTCTTACGAGATCTACTAGGAGAGGAGCAAATCACTATATTGACCAACTAAAAAGGCATTGAATAAGCAGTAACTAGAAATTGACAAGAGGTGTTTGACCCCAACAAGCCCCAATTAAACAATATACCTGTGAAGGCTTCCTCCGAAAGATGCAAGAAGAGGAAACATGGAGGCAGAAGTCAACAATAGCCGAACAGGAGCAGGGATTTGAGCTGTGACCATGTATCTAATTCCTCACTTTCCGATAAATCAATTTCTGGAGTACTTCACCTTACCATGCTTTTGCTTATATATATCTTTGTATATCACTGAATTAACGAGTTTAAAATCTGTTGCATTAATATGACCGCAATCACTAATCATTGTGTGTGGTAAATAATTTAATTTTTAACACCAGCTTAATCCTTCTGATCAATATCACTTGATGCCTATATTGACTCCAAGTTACCCATCCAAAATTCAACGTACAATGTACAGCGAAGTAATCGCATTATTATTGAAAGGGAATTAAAACAAGGTAGGTTTCATTGCATTTTGTTTTTTGTATCTTAATTTGTAGAAGCCAAGTGTTTGGTTATTTTTTATTATAGGCCAGATTAAATAACAAACCTTCCAATACCCTTCATGGTTAAATGTATTGTCTGTTACCTCATCCTCTGTCTTGTGTGGAGTGGTTATGATTAGTTTGTCAGTGAAAGTTACCAAAAGCACTATTCTTGTCAACAGTCCTTAAAAATAACTCGCTTTATACGATTTCTGGTCGTATCTATTTAAGGTAAATTGTTCAAAAATTCATCTAAATCTCCATATTTTTCAAATATACTTTAAAGTGCTCTAGTCGTCTCAATTATGGGAGTTATTTTATCATTTGGTCTCTCTACTCGAACACAACTGGTTGAGTGAGAGTTGATGGCGAACTGTCATCAGAATTGATTACCTCAAGTGGTGTTCGTCAGGACCGTCCACTCTCTCCGTTCTTGTTCAACTTTGTCGTTGATGTGCTTTTAGAGATAACACTTTGCTCATCTAAATTTCTAGGAGTTGAACTTTTACCGGGAGATTCACTTGTTGACTTGGAATATGCTGATGACATAGTTCTATTTGGTGAAGACGCTGACAAAATGCAGAGTCTTCTGACCACTCTAAGCAACAATGCAAGCATGTTCGGGATGCGATTCTCCCCCTCCAAATGCAAAATGTTGCTTCAGGATTGGGTTACATCGACACCCGAACTAGTGATAGGGAGTGAAGTAGTTGAGTGTGTCGATCGCTTCACTTATCTTGGAAGTCTCATCAGCCCTTGTGGTCTGGTGTGTGACGAAATCTCAGCACGGATACAGAAGGCCCGACTAGCTTTTGCCAACTTGCGTCATTTATGGCGTAAGCGAGATATCCGTCTATCAACCAAAGAACGGGTTTACTGCGCAGCAGTTCGTTCCGTCCTACTTTATGGCAGTGAAACATGGCCGGTAAGAGTAGAGGATATCCATAGGTTACTGGTATTTGATCATAGGTGTCTTCGAAACATTGCTCGTATATCCTGGGACCATCGAGTAAATAATGCAGTTGTTAGGAAAAGGATACTAATTAAGGATAGCAAATCAATTGATGAAGTAGTAAAACTTCATCAATTGAAATGACTGTGACGCGTTTCACGTATGTTCAACCACCGATTGCCCGATGGGCGATGTTTTATGGTGTGGGGGTAGGTTGGAAGGAAGCTAGGTGCGATTAGACCCAAACATGGCACAAATCCATGAAGTCACTGATAAGTGGACTGAGTCATGTTGGTAGGTGTAGACTAGCTGGTCGGGATCCGTGAGACGATAGCAACTGATGGTTAGAGACCTTAAATGACATAGTTCAAAATCAATTACGATGGCGCAGGTGCATCCACTCTTTGTGTCCTCCCAAATTCCAATCTTCTGAATCCTTCATGTCCCTTAATTTTCCTCTTTCCAAATTTATTTCACTGGGTTATACTCCTTGAATAGCATCTTCAAACCCTATTGTTTCCGATTGTTGCTTATGCTTTTGCTACCTCTTCCACTACGGGATTTGAATCGACAATTGTATCTCTGTGCTAATGTGGTATGGCTGCTGGAAATGATGCATGTACGTACAAAGTTCTACGTCGCTGCTGACTGAATGACTTAGTAAACATCTATTAGTAATAGTCGTTTTATTGATTCGCTGTATTTCGCAACCAGGGCTAATCATTCTGGCTGTAGTTTTTTCACGTGTTTATATAATTTTTGGAAATAACGTCATTTTCGTGGTTTATTTGGTATCGATGCCGAAAAGAATTAAGTAGAAGCTACTAAATATGCACTTTTGTTACTTCTTTCATAAAAAAACCAGTGGCATTTTCCAACATAATCGAAGAAAAATTTCAACGTCTAACTTCACAGATTTTGGAGGCTTTTATCATTTTCAAACCTACATCTAAATAATGTTAAAACTCTTTGGTTTCACATATCTAGGAAGTTTCTAATACATTTAATAGTGAACAGATTTGATTTATTTAAGGTAAATATTTCTACTGTAACTGAACTGTTGATCGATAAAAATGTTCACGAAGGGTCCCGTAAATCAATGCTTGAAGATTTATTCCCCGAATAACAAGGCTAAACGTGTATGATTTTTATCAAATATTACAACTGATTTGAGGACAAAATGTTTTGGTTAGAGCAGGCAAAGGTTATTTAACTGCTGTTAAACTTAAATTCCTACTTGTACAGTCAGTTTCACTGTGAATTATCATTTTTTTCCATACGTTTTTGTTTCAATTTATACTGTATTCTACTTTCTAAAGGTTTGAATGTTGTCAGGGCTTCAATGATGCACAAGGGTTCCTGGTCAAACCTATTTGAAGCAGCCTTTTTCTTTCAATATCGTCACTATGTTGTTGTCATCGTTGTTGGAAATACTAAACATACTTTCATCGAATTATGTGGTTTGGTGGAATCCAGATTACGTGTTCTTGTTAGCAATTTCGAGGTAAACCGTTATGTCAAAATGGCACATGTAAACTGTCATGCCTACGGAAAAGGTCCTAATGATGATGATGCTAATTTTGTTCGTAAATGGTTCATTGGGATGGAATTCGATCGCAATACTAATTCTTTGACCAGTACTGTTCATAATTCAAATGTCTCTAGTGATAAAGCTACCTGAACGTAGACCTAAGTGAGAATATCAGCTCTTTTGAAAAATCAATTGAACGTGGTCTTTCAAGTGAAGACTTATCAGTAACCGTTAAATATGTCAAAAAGTAAGTCCTTTGATTAGTCTGACAATAAGAAAATATTTAGTATACTCATTCAAATCGTCCAGGTCATAAAATGCTTGCTCTAGAAGTAATTATCATTATAATTATATATTATGTAACAACCGGTTAAGTATTTGGCCATATATTAATTTATACATTAAAATGTAGTTTAGCGGGAGCGAATATTCTTTGTCATATACTAGGTATACAGACAATCCTCTCAGTCTATCAAAATTCTACGATAGTATCTCTGAACATTAGTATACTGAATTCACTCAAAATTATTACATAAAGGAAGTACCTATAAACTGCTTAATTTTCACAAAAGTGGTCTTAGTTATCTTGAGTAGCACACTCTTTGTATCAAGGCAATCTAAATATCGTACATGGCCTACAACTGATATTCAACATTTCTACTGCACTGTACGAGAACGCAGGTGGGGAAGATCGATAAATTGTTTACTGCACAATCACATAGTGGTTTACTAAAATACTAAAATCATACATCAGGTACATCATTTGCACATCTTCGAGTTGCTTCGTTCAGACTTCACTGTTCCATCATTTCTGGCGTTACCGTGATTGATTTCAGTTTCCTATCTTTTCATTTCAATTTTCTCAAATTTTTTTCACAGATATTCCACTTCCAACTGGTGTTACACACTACTCATATCTGTAAACATAAGTAGCGTGCGTAGCGAAAACTACCATCATTATCATCAGAAATGGGAACAACTAGATATTCTAGACTGTATATACAGTATATAACCCACACAGCATATTCCTATGCCGAGATTTTCGTTTATCTATGAAAAGTCAGTCTTTCAGTCAGCTACAACGTAGGACCAGGCACAAATATGCATCGGTCCAAGTTGCCACACCTTATTAGCACAACAAAACGAACATCAAATTCATAGTAGTTAATTCAGTGGTGGTAATATATATAAAAAAGATTACAATAAGGATAAAGTACAGGAAGGAAGAATTAGTTTGTAGAAAGAAAGATATGAAGCGATTTTAATCTCTTAGTTTAAGGGAAAACAGAGTGTATACACCGACGCTATTGTGATCGATTCTGAGAGTCTCCAACCATTGGTTGCGATAGTCATGCGGACCCCAATCATGTAGTCTGTATCTACCAACATGGCCCAGATTAGAAGTTAGTGACTTCAAACACTAATGCCACGTTTTGATTTGACCCCCTCTAACTTTCTTCCATCCGTCCCCAACACTAGTCAGCATTGCGCGTCATGGTAATCGGTGTTCAGTCATACGCAACACGTGGCCCAACCATCTCAGACGATGAAGATTCGCAACCTAATCAACTGATTTGCCACCATTCCCTAATACCCTGCGTCTAACCTCACTATAACTTACCTGGTGATCCCAGGAGATGCGGGCAATATTTCAAGGACATCTGTGGCCAAATACTAGTAGCTTACGAGTATCTTCTACTCATGATGGGCATGTTTCGCAGCGGTAAATAGAACAGAACGAATTGCTTCACAGTATACTCGTCCCTTAATTGATAGACTGATATCTCGCCTTCGCAATAGGTAACGTAAGTTGACAAGAGCCAAACGGGCTTTTCGAATCCGTGCTGAGATTTCGTCAGACACCAACTCATTAGGGTTGATCAAACTTACAAGATAAGTGAAGTTGTTCACTCCCTATCCCTAGTTCAGGTGTTGACGCAGCCAGTTTGAAGCAACAACTTGCATTTAGAGGGAGAGAAACGCATCCCAAACATCCTGGTATTGTTGCTCAGTGTTACCAAAATACTCAGCATTTAATCAGGGATTTTATCTGCGTATTCTAAGTCGGTAAGTAGATCTCCTGGTAGGAGATCAATGTCTGAAAATTCTGTCGACGAGAATGTTATTTTCATCAGTAGGTCTATGATGAAGTTGAACAAAAATAGAGATAGTGGACATCCTTGACGGACATCACCATTGTCGGACGTCGATAAGTACGCCTGTGTCCTAGTACCTGACGAATGGTGAATATGTGGTCGATGCAGCCACGACCAGGTCTGAAGCCAGCCTGATTTTCTCGTGTTTGCAGTTCACGAGTCTTAGTTAGGCGTCCGATAATTATCGAGGCTAGTATTTTAGATACTATGTTAGTCAAACTAATCCATCTATGGTTGTCACAGGATGATTTTGACTCTCTCTTGTATATTGGAACGATAAGTGATTGTGACCAGTCAGATAGGATTATGTCAAACTCCTAGATTTTACCTAAAATGTTAGTCAGCCTAATAGCTAAATCTAATCAGTCTTTACAGTTGATTGATCACTGGGTAATGATCATTATTAGGTCCTTCTTTGTGCGAATCGAATTCTGTCGACCAAGTTGCAATCTGGCGGTTAGTGTAGGCCACTCGACATTAAGTGCACAGTGTTGAGATGAGATTGGCTTTGTGGTAGTCGACAGGATACCCTGAACTTAGTTTCCTCGCTATTTGGTACTCATCAGCAATTTGTAGCTGTAATCTCTGGGTGACACTGGGTCGAATCCGTCACGGAGCATCACTCCCCTCACGACTACAGGTACTCCTTGCTGACGAGTGTCAAATAGTACGAAACTTACATCCAGGGTTTCCTTTTAACTACCTCGAACCACCATCTCATAGTTAGCCTTACAAGTCTTTGAAGGGGACTTGAATGTAGTTGTAACTATTGTAGGATAGATTTCTTCAGAGAATTCTTATTGCTTGGGGGATTTAGTCTGGATTGTCAAGTTCGAGCTAGATTACTTTTAGCTGTTTGTTTCGATTTAGTATTTAACTGACCCATGAAACCACTGAAATATTGTCCATAATACTCCACAATATCTTTTATTCTTAGGTCACAATTAGCTCAGTTCATTTCTGCAGAAGATATGGATGAAATTAAACGTCAAGCTGCTTCTGCCGCTTTATCAAATGTAAATAATCCTACTGAAAGTCTAAAAAGTGGCCGTTTACTTCCGAACAGCAACACATTGAATTCAATATCCAGTCCAGCCAGCAGTATTGAACTCTCTGGATCTGAGGAATTTTCGTCCCCTGCAAATAGTCTTCATAATTCCATTTCTACAAGTTCTCTGACCAACATGGCTACCATAAACTCATCACCAAAATGTCCTCCTCCATCTCCGAAATTAATATCCTCTGGGGTATGTGGTGCTGTACCACCTGACATTCAACTAAATGAATCATCACTTTCCCTAGATAATCACAAATATGTAGGTTATTCATTATGACCACCTTGTAAATGATTAGGCTTTTTTTCTATAATCCCTAAAACTTCACCCTAATGTGCTTGTTATCACAAAAATAGCATTATTTGGTCTGTAACATTTAATTGGGATTAAAATTATAGGTATCTTGTCGCGTTTCATTTCCGTAAACTAATCCCATAATCGTATCATTTGTAATTCTAATAGTTTATTAAAAATCCTTCTGATCTTAACGAATAATACTGATGATCTAAGAGTTACAAACTTATAAAATACCATCTTAAAATTTAGAAAATAAGTACATGTTATATGTGAGGTTTTTTATGCTTAAAATTTAAGTTCAATGCAAAGTTTTCCTTGTTTAATACTTTTATCTCAGGATCCCATGAAGGATACACATTTATTGTCTTCAGATCATTCCTTGTGCAATAATACACTCAATTCAGTCGATTCTACTGGTAAACTTACATCAAAACGTGTTGGATTGGTTGATTCCAGTCTTGAACTTTCCTCCGATAGTCATCCAAATTCTAGGAGTAATGCTGACTCACAATTGCATGGTTCGGAAGATTTTAGGAAGCGTGCCCGTATATCTTCGGAAAATTCACGACCTGTTGTTTTTACTTCATCTGCCCAGTAACCATTACGACAAAAAAAACTACTGCTTCTTGTTCTCAGAAAAACAAGCAAACTTTCACTAGTCCCTTGTAATTATTTATTTCTGTTTTCCAGTGTCGATGGTCTATATATATATATATATATATATATATATACAGACATAATTGATGTATTAATTTCAGTTGTTTGATGTTCAAATCTGTTGGATTGCCTTAGTTGACTTTTTGGTTAATAATACCTACCATAATCACCATCCTCACTTGTGTGCATTTAATCTGACGTTTCATATTTGCAAGTTTGTATTTATTCGTTGGTCTATTGTTATTTTCGGTAAGTTTAAAAACATTTTTGACGTTTATCAATCTTAATCGTTATGCTTATTACTGTTTATTCAGTTGCATGAATAGTCGAACGTTTACAAATAATATTATGAGTAATTAGTGTAATTTAATTAGTTGATGAACGGTCTTATCGTTTTATCTATATTGAAAGTTAACGTAATTGCCTCACTTTCATTACGCCACTACGAAGTATTATTTGTCGCGTTGCTGAATTTTACGAATATTCAATCTGTCAGTCTTGCCTAGTATAGTTTTTTCTTAGTTGGCTGATAATTTTGCTTACTGAAAGTTCACTAAGTAACCTCCCTCACACAAAGAATTCTTGTCTTGTCAATCCACATTGTATTGCGTTTAATTTGTTACTTTGTGTTCGAGTTTTGGTGTATATTACTTACAATGATTTCAGATTAACGGTTTTTACCTGTTTTTGCGTGGGGGAGAAAACATGAAGTCTCAGTCACTACCACCGTTTTCATCATTTTCCTTGAACTGAAAATTCTTCACAAATGTGCAAATGTTTCCTTATAACAAGTATAGGCAAGTTTCGTCGTTTTATCGTGTATTTATTTGTTAAAATATGTATAAATGATAAAGTATCCAGTACTTTTTCATGAGTTTTGTCTTTTTATCATTACATGTATTGCAAATGTTAACTTGTTATATTTCAAGTTCACTAACTTTACTTATGGCCTTCTGAAATCTAATGTCTGGTTTTAAATATTATTCAGTAAGCGTGTACAGATTTATCTTTGTTTACGCCTTGATCTGTAGATTATGGCGCGTTTTCTGGTTATCCATACAGAGTACATATTGAAGTCAGCCTATTTGGAAGGACTACTTACCAATGAGGTTCATCAATGAGCACATTTTGTCCCAGACTGGTATAAGTCAGAAATGTAAATTATTGGACTCCCATTTTGTATTTTAAAGGTATCGTGGTTACTTCGAAACCTGAATGTCCTTCTTTGGGAGTTTTAAGTGCCCGTTACTGCAGCATTTCAAAATAAGACCACTGTCTATTTTCCATGGTCTTCACTGGTTCTCCAGCTAATATCCGGTTGTAATGGAAACGGTTTTCATATTAATAATCTGTGTTTATAGCTCCTTTGAAGATGCATTAATTAAAATAGTTCTCTGTTGATCGAGTAAATTTGGGGATCTGTCGTACTGAGGTTTGCCAAGTGAAGCTTGTTACAATGTGATACGAACCAACAACTTTCATTTTATCAACAGAAGTAACCTATTTTGAGAACTCAGGATTCTCTTAACTCAGTACATCAGGTGGTTGAATATTTTTAAATCTTAAAAGTTGTTAGTGAAATTCTCTGATCATTTCACACACACGTAAGTTTGATGAGTTTTATCACATGAATTCTGGAGCATAAAATGATAATTTTATATTCGAGTAGAAACACAAAAAACAAATCCCTTAAATTTACGTATGATTATGTACGTGCTACGATTTTTGTAGCTTCCTGATCTACATAACTCCGTTAAAGTAACTTACTAAATCTGACGAAAAATATGAAAATGCAAAGTTTACTAGAAAATTTAAGTGTTTGAATACGTTGTTGGCATTATTACATTTAAGTTATCATATCCAGTTATCTACAGCTTTAAAGAAAGTTGAATAATAATACTCAAGAGAGAAAAGTGCTCACAAGAAGTTTTCAATCCTATAACTTCAAATCAAGGAAATTTCTAGTTCATGTTACTTAGTTAAACGAAAAGCATTTCAGAAATGGTTAGTTCAATTCAAACAACACCGGAGACAAAATCAAATGTTGTGGATTAGATGTGCTTGTTTATAAATGAAGCATTTTGTCACATTTTGTGAAGTGAATATGATAGGTTGATCATATTCCAAATTTACATAGGCTATATAACATAATCCTCAATATTCACTCATTTTTAAGATGTACAGTGACCAGTCAATTTTAAAACGGTATTAGCAACTCCTTTTTCAACCAGTAGGTTACAAATACAAACCCAACTTCTTTTACCTTGGTTTAAATTCTGGATTGCACCACTAACCGTCAAAGATGGTATGACTCGGTCAGATGCAAAAATTTCCGCTCGGTAAATGTGTTTTATTTATAAAACTGAACAATTTTCAAAATTTGTGCAAAAGACTAAATCGCTTCTTAGCTTAATGAAGAAATGAATGGCTTGTTTAAGTCTAGACACTTTTTAGTTGCGATTGTTTTGTAAAATAACGTATTTCCGTTTACTAGAGTTTAGCTAATTGAATTCACTTAATTTTTTTAAACTAAAATAATGTGACTTTCTATTTGGTTTCAGGTTGAAATGCCGACGACTGTCATTGTAGCAAGTTCGCATCCAATAATCTCTGAGTATTCTATATGGATACGTGGTTGTTAAAGTTTATGTTCTGGTGTCTGCATACGTGTGTTTGAACGTTGTGTGTGTGTATATGTTCAACTATAGTCTGTGAAAAATTGTATGTTTGCACATTTGATTGTTCTTCGTCTGTTTTTTTCTGCTTCTTTAATTATTTAGTTCCTTATATGCTGTTGTTCTGACATTCGGCAGTCGTCATGTCTGATTTCTTTTATTCCTTATTTGTAAACATTTTTGTCGTCTTCTGTCTTTTTTTTGTTTGTTCGTTTTGCAAGTTTTTGTATGTAGTTCTCTAAATATTAGATAAATTTCTTTATTATTTTGGCTTTTGTCCTTTTGTGGAAATATTTCACTTTCAAAGAAGCAATTGTTGTTCATACCGTCAATTAAAACTTAGTTATAAGTTGTTGAAATGGCTACTAATCGTAAACTATTGCCTTACAATTCCGGATCCGTAAATGATATTACTTACATTTTTTCAAGCTCCTCAGATTAGTTATCTAATTACTTAAAAAAAATTCCATCATATTAATACGCAAGTGGAAAAATTTTTTTTAAATAGACTTCTCAGATGACATTTTACTGTCAAATCGATAGTCCAAAAAAATGAGCAAATTAAAGATTTATACATAATTTTAGAATTAAATTATTTGAATTTAAGATTGTTTATATAAAGTAAAATTAATAATACTGGAATGAGTAGTATACAATGTTAACTTTGTATGGTAAATGAAATAGTGTAATTGGTAATCAAAATAATTGCAAAAATAACAGTATGAAAGAAATACGATCGAATATTTGATCTAAGGCTACCTACTGTTTGAAGTGCTATGTATTCAGTAGCCAATTGAGGTATCTGAAAAGGAAATTGGATTAAAGGTGGTTTTAGTGACCTGAGAGCGTGACCGCAGTGCCCAAACGACAACTGTTTGAGGTCAGTCACACGACCTTAAGAGTAATTTTTGTGTTAGCTCCGTACTTGTAGAGACCTTACCGCCGAAGACGGATATCCGTGGGATAAGGCGAGGTGTGCATTTTTAGGGTCGACCTTTTCTAACTCCACCCCTCCTTGTGGGAAGGCAGCATCGCTGTTATGCTGGTTGTCTGAAGACAGTATACAGACAAGATTTCTTACTAAAAAACCGACATCTCAAAGAAAAAAAATTTACTAACTAATTAAGTATAATGAGTTCAAATATTTGGAATAACAATAATATTACGAAGTTGTGTTAATAAGGCAGAATTAACCTGTAAAAGTCGAAAGGTTAGGGCTATATGTATATCAGTCAAATGAAGATGGTTATTGACTTATTGGGCCTATGGTTGCGCGAGTCAAGAGATAAGGTTAAACACAGTTCTTAGCATCAGAAGGGCTACGAGTTTAACAAAAAATTACTAATCCGATAAACTGTTAGGAATGGTCGATTTATATTGGCGCAGTGATTCGTGTGGACTAGCCTATATAGTATGACCTAGCCGCCAATCATTTACTTAATCGTTTGCGAATTTCATAACCTAAATCCATCCTTTAGAGTTGTAATCATGACTCGATAAGTTTTATGTGTGCACATAAATTGTCATTCTGCTCAATGTGACTTCATTCAATTTTTTGTTGAAGATTCGTTCTGTGTTTTGAATAGCTTCATTCTATAGCTTTCGTTGTTTTCCTGAACAACATCAGCACGAAATACAGGAAGAAGTACTGAGAATTCTATATTGTACCAAAACATAATATTGAATAAAGCCATTAATAATAAAAAAGTAAGGTATTCAAAAATGACAACTCTTCCTGATTGCGTTCAGAAAATGTTTGACGATTAAACTATCTCTCTCAGAGAACGAAAATAACCTCCCTCAGCTACAAATCTTCACTCCATTATTTGGCGTTTCTATTACTAATGAAACTTCGTTTCGTTCTGATGTACGACAATTTTATTTGAACAGGTTAAGATGGGTTTCATGTAAATAAGAATAATTGTAAGAGTCCTAATAAATCACTTGCAACTTGATTTGTTGAACAACCTGAACTCATATTTGACCAACTCTTATCCATACTTCTATGTATAGGGGCGAAAAACATTCAGTTTGTAGAAATAGTAACAACAAGTATGGATAATCATCAAATTACTGACTATTCTAAAGTTTATTCAACAATAAACACTTTATGGCGGTAGTCTTAGTATGTACGATAGGTAATTCTTCACTACAGTGGGAATACGGTCGAAAGAAAGGTTTCAAACAAGACGCCAACGACTTACAAATATTCCCAGTTTTATTTTGTTTTTACTAAAAGCAGGATAAATGCATGTGAATAAAGCTTAGAATTCTAACGTATCTAAAGAAATTTAGTCATTTCGTTTAACATTGAGGATCTGCAATATATATATATATATATATATATATATATATATATATATATATATATATATATATATATATATATATGTATAGTCAAGTCTATTAGCTACCACAGTGCCTCGTATTTGCTCCGAGTGTTTTTCTACGTTGTTCAAGTGATTGGGTATTTCCTAGTTTTATTACTCACCAATCATCAATAGAACAAAGTATCGTTGTAATATCAAGGCATGAGATAACATAGTTTAGTAACAGATGTGGCGGATACAGGTTAAATATCTCAACTCAGAAAATCAGTAAGATAAGTAGTCTGTTTTTGGTTCATTTCACGATTCCACAGAAAACTGATAACGTTTATGGGGTAGTTTATTATGGACCTCTAGCAATGACTCAATTATTGGGACTGGTGAATGTATTTGCCAATTTAAAAGTTCTTATTTAGACATTCTTCGATGTTCTCTTTAAGAATATTATTCGTAAAGACTAAAGTATACCTCTGATTAATATAATAGCGACTACTCATTCAACACTTCTGAACTCTTGAGATTGGTCAATGGTCACTGTGCTCAATTATTTTACTTGTTGTCACTAGTCAATGCATACTAATCTTGTAGGAACACTGCTTATAGAAGCGCATACCGAAAATAATTAGGTTAGATTCTGTTGGCATATGCATGTGAGCACGGTAAGAAAATCTGAGAATAGTTTGTATCTCTTGTTGAACTGGGACGACGTGTTAGGAACTTGTTTGATGGTTGGTGTCGATGTGGTTCAATTGTCGGACGAATTTTGCGTTTCTTTGTTAGACGACGCCTCTTTGTGTTTATGGTTGATCACTAGAAATCAACAGTTTTCTGAACGTCATCATAGGAGACATCCGCACCAGATCATGAGTGGGTACACCGTACTACGCATCATTTGCAACTGTTAGCCAGCTTCGTGACATATCGATGGCCTCCCAATTATGTCTTCTAAACACTTCATTTTCCATGTCTGATTTGATCGGGTTTTTATACTACGATCTTTATCGGTGAGTCCGACGTGATCTTGTACAACAAACTATAAACTATTTTCTGTTGGGATATTATATTTCTTTTTTTCTTCTATATATTGTGTTATTGTCCTTGTATTTTCGGATAAGTTTCTCTCCTCCCTTTGGTATATTTTATTTTCATCATGACGGAACAGATATCTTCGCCTCCCACATTACTGTGATCCACCCTATTCATGCATAGTAGGATTCTTATAAATTAATTTGAGAAGAGACTTGAATAATATCAGAACAAACTCAAATTACTATACGTATATAGAGAGAGGTAATATGATAGTATCTAGAAAAGAATATTTAATCAAATTAATCAAGTTTTGGTGAGAATGTAATTTATGAACGATATTTGGGCGACGCTAGACATACCTTGAGAGTGTCCACCTAATAACTAGAATCAAATGAGGGTTATAAACCTGTCTGAGCAACTATAGTGATGATTTACATATGATGATTACGGTTAGGAATTACATTTAGGGTTTTCACCACGAACTGATATCAGCTATAATACCAAAACTCTATTTAACCAAATGGATGACTGAATTTCACATCAAAATGCAAGACCTGTTATCTTATATTTGATTGGTTTGTCCATAAATTAATAAATCTCGCTAAAGTTTTTTTCATAGTAACACTTTATCTACATATTTCTCAATAAAACTTGAATGCAAAATTAGATTATCTCTCTTTCAATCGAATATAGAAAAATGTTCAAATAAATGACCTTCAGCATTATAATATACTGGTTAGTTTTGATTGGCTCATAGATACAGTAAATAAATTATCGTTCTTTGATTGGTTGTTGAGGAAAAAAAGGAAGTAGATTTTATGATTTCATTGGTTATAGTTTATATTAAAGCATTAGAACCTTTTGAGAAGTATAAAAGTACTTCAAACGTGTCATAAATGTATGATATGTTATCAATGTGTTCATATTTCTTTATCAAATATTGGATAATACTATCTATAAATTTTGTATTGACTTATCAACAAACTAGTAAGCATCATTGAAATTACATTCATGTTTATTTGTTATTATTATACACTATTCATTTTATCTTATCCTTATCCCAAGCTCCCAACTTTGGGGAAATTTTGGGGTTTTGTGCCATTTCCCCAAAATTTACTATAGCGGCTTCCCCAAAATTGGCAGCTTGGGATCTATTACAGTCAAATATAATAATCGAAAATTTTCATTATTATTTATATTTATTTTACTTAATTTCTACATGATATTTGATATATCTTAAACATGGTCCACCAGGGTGCTTGGTACCTGTGTGGTTGCGCCACAGGATTGAGCTGTACTATTCAGATTGTAGCGTTAAAGCCTGTACGGTGTCTGGTTCCTCCGCTAAACGGGGTTGAGCTGTACTGTTTGGGTTTTTGCGTGAAAGTCTGGATGGTGTCTGGTTCTCCTGAAAACCAATGTAAAATTACCCTGGCCCACAAGGGTATATTATATAACTGTGTGATATCTTAAACAAATATGTATCTGGATTCGAAAAACTTGTTTAGCTTTGTCAACTATGGCAAAGGCGAGATATCAGTCTATCAATTAAGGGACGAGTATACTGTGAAGCAATTCGTTCTGTTCTATTTACCGCTGCGAAACATGCCCATCATGAGTAGAAGATACTCGTAAGCTACTAGTATTTGGCCACAGATGTCCTTGAAATATTGCTCGCATCTCCTGGGATCACCAGGTAAGTTATAGTGAGGTTAGACGCAGGGTATTAGGGAATGGTGGCAAATCAGTTGATTAGGTTGCGAATCTTCATCGTCTGAGATGGTTGGGCCACGTGTTGCGTATGACTGAACACCGATTACCATGACGCGCAATGCTGACTAGTGTTGGGGACGGACGGAAGAAAGTTAGAGGGGGTCAAATCAAAACGTGGCATTAGTGTTTGAAGTCACTAACTTCTAATCTGGGCCATGTTGGGAGATGCAGACTACATGGTTGAGGTCCATGTAACTATCATAATCAATGATTGGCGACTGTGTGTGACATGGCTCAGAATCGATCACACTGGCGTAGATGTAAACATTCTTTGTCTGTTCTTAAACAATCAGATTCAAATTACTTTATACCTCACTTTCTACAAGCTAATTCTTTCTTCCTATACGATATCTTTATACACAATCTTTCTTCTATATATTACCACCATTGAATTAACTACTATGAATTTGGTGTTCGTCTTGTAGTGCTAATAAGGTGTGGCAACTTGGACCGATGCATATTTGTGCCTGGTTCTACGTTGTAGCTCACTGACTGGGTCAATTAGGGTCCCCTATGAAGTTCATAAACTAGTGATGTGTAGCTTAGGTATGTGCCGAAAACAACTGTGATGAATTTTTAACCAATGCTTAACTGATCAGACGACAGTTTTGATAAATGGTTAGTTTATTTTAAAGAAATAATTTAACGAGATTTTTAAAAAATTTCTGCATATTTGGTGATCTGTAAAAGTTTTCAACAGGTTCCTCTGTCTGTTAACTGTAGAACACTTATAAGGTGTCAAATATTCTTTTAAGCGTCCATATACTATTTTTTGTTAGGGTTGGGTATTTTAGGTCAGTATTGGGGTAAACCATCATGGTGTCCATCACAAACTAATATCAGTTATAATACACAAGCGCTTTATATCCATTTGAATGTATGAGTCAAGCGAGAAGATTCAAGAGGCATTATCTGATTATTTCTTTTAATAGTATGGTGGCACTTCGCTAAATTTTGTATGAAGATTAGAGTTTAGGGTTAGGATTTAGGTATAATAACGATTTCCTCTTGTATTTTTCCCTTGCACTAATACTACACAAGATTGCTTAAGACGAACAGTGAACGATTTTTCTGCATATACGATTCAGTTGCTTTATACTAGATACCTACCTATTAATATTCTACCAAGTTTCAACAATCAACGATATATGTGATGTATGAAATATCTGTTAAGCTATTTACCAATGCGTCTAGGAAAATAACCAATCAATATTTCCTCTGGCCTATACAAAATATCTACAAACTGTGGATAAAAATTTGAGTATTTGCAACATTTAACGCCAACATTTTGAGCGAATAATTGTTTTCAATAACTTTATCATCAGGCTCTAGAATTATAAGTCCATAATTATAATATTTTACAAAGGCCAAAAATAAAGGAAGGGGGTAAGAGGTTTATAATATTCAGTCCAGGTATCCGGTGATCTAGTCGTAGGCCAAGGTAAACAAAGAAGCTGGATATATTTTTTCTGGATACATAAATTTGGTCTTCCGGAGTTGATACAGATGGCTTCGGCTATGTAAAGCAGTCGTAATCTATCTCCGTGAGGTAGATATTTTGGAACTTGATATAAAACAGAGAAAGCTTCCTCTATTTTGATATGATGTTCACTATCTACCAAGGGAGAAAGAATGGTGCTGTTAATCGATTTGGTAACTCCTTTTTCTCAACCATGCTGGTACATGTTCACGAACACGTGAAGATAAATCCCTTTGAGTACTGCCTATGTAACTAGCTCCACAGGAGCAGTTGAATTGCTATACACACATGGAAGAGCCCATCTTCGGTAACCTAACCTTGGTTATTTGTATGAGTACTGGTTTAGTTGAGAAAATTATGTGTACCTTGGCGGCGTGAAACGTCCTTTCGACAGATCTTTTGAGTCGATATGTTTAAATATCATCCGCTATGTCCCCTATAAAGTCTAGTCTCAGATATAAGGTTTTTTACTGACTGTCACAATTTCTTCGTTTTTTAGTACTTTTTACGAGGTATTTTTTAACGAAACTATCTGGATAGCCATTATTTCGTAATGCGTTCTTTAGTATATCTATTTCGCCATCCACACTGTCTACGGAACATAATAACTTGATTCAGTGGTTGAGACATTTAACCAAATTTATTTTGTATTGAAGAGGTGTGATGCTTTGGAAATGGGTATACTGACCCGTCCATGTACTCTTTCTAAATATATTTCGCTTTATGGAAACGTCTATCCTTCTAGAAAGTAGGACATCCAAAAAAGCTATACTATTGTCTTTCTCCTCCTCGCTGGTGAATTTAATGGCTGGGTGGACATTATTGAAAGAGTCCAACATCTCCTGTTTGTCGATATTTTCGTCACATATGATTAGTGTGTCATCTATGTATCGACAATAATAATCAAACTTACTTAGGATGTCTTTAAGCGGTCCATTTTCTAGTTTGGTCAGAAAAATATTAGCAAGGATCGGGCTTAGAGGTGATCCCATTGCTGATCCATCTACTTGTCTGAAAAATTCATTGTTAAACTTAAAGTAGATATTCAAAGTGCATTTCAGCAGAATTTCTTTCATTTTACTTACTGGGATCGGTATCTCTATTTTCTTTTCTAGCAATTGTTCACATATGTAATCGATAGTTTCAGTCAGAGGGATGTTAGTGAACAAAGATGTTATGTCTAGTGATAACATGTTTTTGCCATTTATATTCATATTTTTAATTGTATCCACAAATTCAAAGACGTCTTTAACATTATGCTTGACCAGTTCTTGGTGTAATGGTTCTAATAATTTAACTAACCATTTTGCTGTTGAATGGTATGGTGAGTTTGCCATATCCAGTATCGGGCGTAAAGGAACATCAGGTTTATGAATCTTACATAGACCATATAGTCGATGGGGTATGTGTTCCCGAAGGCCTGAGCGCATTATAGGTATGCTCAGTGATGTATTGATGTTGTTTTAGAAATTGGTTATTGAATTTTTTTCCTTATTATCATTATTTTTGTTTATCTCTATCTTAATCTTCACATCCATCATTCCCAATTCGTTTATTGTAATTACCTTGATAACACCCTCCTTATTACATAGTATATTCACACAACAATCTTATTATTATCTCAAATGACAAGATTAAATTCTCCTACTATGCATTTTATTTACACAAATTTTTTTTGCATTTTCATTTTTGCTATAATAATACTATTCTACTTATTGTGACTGGACGCTATACTCCAAATCATCCTGACCTTTATTGAATGACCTTTCTAATTTGCGAATAACACCATTTTGAAGTATATACATATGTCGTAACAGATGTAAACGTGCACCATTTTTAACACATAACATTGTCAAATTCATTAATGCCATTCCTTAATCACAATTGATTGATCACTGGGTGGCGATCAATGTTATGAGTGTCTAGTCCTTATTAGTGCAGATCGAATGCTATCGATCATGTTGCAATGTGGCCACCAGTCTAGGTGACTCGACACTGCTATGCCTTAATTTTGGCCTTTGTAAAGTATTATTATTATGGACTTATAACTGTAGAGCCTGATGATGAAGTTATTGAAAACAATTGATCGCTCAAATATTCTTCATTTTTGAATATTCTATGGGAATTTTTAAACTGCTAAGATTTTGTTTCTACGGTGGTAAAAATAGATTTTCGTCATCATTTTAAATGCTTTCAGTACTAACGAGAAGTATTTTCACAAGAGGTTTTGTAAATATTATAGTATTCTCAATGGTTGAGATTATGAGTCAATTGAATTTAAACTGATAGGTCCTGGGTTTAAATCTCGGAAGGCGAGATTGTGGAGGTGCACTGCTAAAGAGTTCCACAATAGAACGAAACGGCCTTCCAGTAATACCAGGTTTTCCATGGTGGTCTAGCTTCAATTAACTCATGCTCTCAACCATTGAAAGAAGTATTTTCACTGTTCATTGTACGAAATGTGCCTACCAATGGTATTCATAATTTTAACCGGCTCGTCTCTACTGTGCTCTTACTGTTATATGTTTAGCAAACAATAACCAAAAAATTGGAAACATTTAAATGAACTGAAAAATGTTGAAAAGTGGACTAAGAAATTGAGGATAAATAACAAGCTATCTCAGGAGTGAATTTGTAAACGTACATTTGAAATGCAAATTTACACACAGTCTTTCATTACTTTGATGTACATAATGAAGTCTAAATTTCAACTCGAGTGTACATGATTTTACCTTGAACAAGAATCCTGAGAATTTGGCTAAGAATACTTTATGGTTTGAATGTAATAGTCTGATTTAGATGACCTTATAACTAATCCTATTAGTAATTAGTAACTGATGTTCTTATAAGGATAAACATCAACTTGTGCTTATTGGCTATTTAGTTTCAAATAACTCTTCAACAGTCGTCAATCTTCTCAACAGTTGAGATCATGGGTCGATTGAAGCTAGACCACCATGGAAAACCTAGAAGCATTGGATGGCCGTTTCGTCCTATTGCCATAGATGCTGCACCAAAACTCTTGAATAAAACATATATTTGTAGGGGTTTGAATCAATATTGATGAATTCGAGTATGGGTAAGTATAAGCTACAATCACATGGGTTAGTCAGTTATATCACTTGATTATGATCAAACTATAAATCCATTAGATGCGCTTCACAATTGTCAGCCAGTATAAAACACATAATTACTATCACTATAGGGGGAATTGTGGAGATTGTAGAATTTTCACAGTTGTAATCACAAATTGATTTTAGCTAGACACATACTAGGGCGAAACGGCCATACAATCTTTCCAAGTTTCCGATGGAATTTGAAAATATGGTTCCATCGAACGTTCATTCTTTTTAAGAAAGCAAACTTGATCTGTTGGCTTTTTTGAAACCAATATGGAGTTTCCAAAGTCACACTTCAGGAGCGAACGGAAGCAATAGATCTTATATTGCAGTAAATATGCTAAAGTTAGGGATACTACCCTTAACTCAGGGTCTGAAAAGTCGGTAAAATGAAAATTCTGCAAATGCGATAAAAATAGTCTTACTGGTCTAGTTATAGTATTCCGATACCAGACAATGGGATTTGGGAGTTATTTAAGCCCTATCGCTTCAGGCTGGGCTATTTCGCTTACTACCCTACATATGTGTTGTATGCAATATAAGCTATATGGCTATGTAGAGCTGAAGGTCTTATATGAGGCTGGAGGTTCGCCATTGGTATTGTGGGTGGTTCGGCATTGCCTTGGTATGTTTTGCTGACTGTTCATGCACAAAATTGGTTTGCTAGATGACCGATTTTTATTCATACTGGTGGTTGCTTTTCAGTGTTCTCGAGGGTCATAGTCATTGGGACATTGTGAGGCATTTCGCCGTTGCTAACATTTATATGATGGTAAGAAAAGTCAAAAATCGATTGATTTACTCATTATGAGTTTTATTCAATATTATTTCCGTTTTGATTCAATGCAAGGATAACTCAATGTAGAAGGGTGCGGGATCGTGGATGCGCACTGCTGAGGAGTCCCATACTAGGACGAAACGGCCGTTCAGTGCTTCCAGGTTTTTCATGGTGGTCTAGCTCCAACTGACTCATGATTTCAATGTGTGCAATGTAGTATTTGTTTTGTTTTCCCGGTATGATCTTTTATTCTGTCTAATATACGATATTCTTGTATTCAATTGGCATGTGATTTGTTATAACTAAGTATTTTTTATGTATGTGATTTCATCCTAATTATTAATCAAAGTGTGTGTGTACAATCATTATATAAATGAGTGTACTTTCTACTAGAATCGTCGACCTAGAGAAATTTGATGGTGCCACAAAGGTAAGAGTATTGCTACGCAAACTTGCCATAGCTGAACATAAGCTCTAGATATAACACATTCACGTCACATGTATAATTATCCCGATCAATGATCACGTGAATCAATTATACACAGCACGAACAGGCCGAAGTTGACCTATTCCGCTTACATGACAGTCAAACTGAATTCAAAACTTGTGAACTATTCATAAAAGTGATTAGTTTTGTATGAAGCTCACTTCGTATTCCTTCTAAATTGTTCCCAAATTAAATTTTGAGTAAGTCTAGTTCTTGATCAGTTAGTTAGTTCTGAATATCAGATTGTGAAAAGTCTTCTAATTGTTTCGAGCTTGCAGGGTACAGCCATTTCTTGTCGTCTAATCACTGAAATCGGTAAATTTTGAATTGAATTCGTTTCAAATGCAGAAAAATTAATGCGTAAAACTAGATGATGAACACTTCATTTGAATTCTGCTGCTAATTAGGCTTGCTTTGCAGATTCTCTTCAAATGATCCGTAAAATGTCAAGTAAATTCGAGTTGTTAATTATTTGAAATGTTGTTGTGTTTCAGCTAACTATAAAAATGATCAACCTATTCCTGTTAATCACAATAATGTTTTGATTCCACATGAACAACAAGTTTACAGATATATCATGAACAATTATGAGCCATCTGTAAGACCGTTGAAAAACATATCCGAAAAGTTAACAGTGAAGATACGTATACGCTTACAACAAATCAGTGGTTTGGATGAGCGCAATCAAGTGTTGACAACTATACTATTCCTTGAGCAGGTAAGTTGTTATAACTTGTTACCTGTGTGTCCTGTTAATGTACAACGTAATGACACCGCCAATTAGAGAGCAGTGAATAATCGTTCGGACCAATGACGCCTAAAACGCGTGCAAGCAGTTTAGAGTCCTTATTCGTGCGGCTTCCTGCCTAATCCATCCAGTTAAGTCTAGAACACCAATCTCAGCCTCTGCAATATGAATCATGTATTTCAAACACACTGGGTTTATATACCAACCAGACAGACCACATCCTTCCATAAAACAGAAAATAACATTTGTACAAAATTTGGCCAAATGTGGCTGTGAATGTGGAGGTAGTGATTAATAGACAGAGCATAATTCAAGTATGGTAAATTGTATAATAACAGTTCATAGGTCAAAATAAGGCTCATAATAAGAGGGACATGAATATGAATAGTTTAGTTATTTGAGAATTATACGATAAAATTATATGCATAGTATTGGTCCATAAATGGATCCCAAAAGTTGCCACTCATTATGCTTATCGGGGCATAACAGCAAGTGACCATTCTCTTTACTTTTTAATAAAATTGACTTTTGAAGTAACACCACTTGGAGCTCATCTAAAGCAACTGACAGATTTAGGCCTTGTAAAAGTAGGAGGTTTGAGAGAAGGGTTAGCATCCCTAATCAGCGTCAACTAATTAGACCGGTTAAACTCTGCTCTGGAAGTTTATGGGAGTGTAGTGTCAGTTACTGTGTTAACCCCATATTATAGCTTCTGGACAGTCCAACTTATCCGTTCTTCTTGATTCATATTTTGACCTTGTTAATTACTCGCTTATCAATCCTGACTGTTTTTATGTAAGTGTATGTGTGTGCCCTTCTTATCCCACTTATCACATGTCTGTTGCTTATTTTTGTGTGACTATTGTTGTGAACGGGGAAATAAGAAGCTCAGACAACTACGAAAGCTTTTTTCTTGGGACGTTATTTCATTTCATTCAAACCTTGTAAAACACTTATATTTATTTTTGTCCCTATTTTATTCTACATAACATGAGCCTTCGTTCTATGTAACATTCACTGCCATACCTTTTTTTGTTCCGAAAATATTGTAATTTAAACATAATATTTTGCATCTTATTTTCTACCCTAATTCCCAGTTTCGGACATAATTGTATTTTTCCAAATTATCGTACGTTGTGGTCAGGATATTCACTTATTTATTCATGTACATTTTTGCACTAATCCGAATTCAGAGTGTTCCAACTGTCTTGTCTTCTATCACTTGCGTGCTTGCCAACCAATCAGGTTCTAGAATAGTTTTCTCTCTGCCCCATCTCGAACTCACGCGTACTAGACTCAAGGTTAAGCTGCCTAGCCTATCGCGTCAAGGCCATAATCTAGGCTAGACAAATCAAGGTCAAGTCATCACAAAGTACCAACGGGTAAAAGCGATTCAAGGTCATAACAACTGGCGACGGAGATTTTTTTCTTTTCTATATTGATTGATCCAGAGCAAAATGTCTGTACCATTGGATGACCTTAAAACTATTCTTCAAATTCAGCAAGCACAAAATGATGCAAATCAAACGAAGCTTTTGGATGCACTGGCGCGAATGCTCTAATTACATTCGTCCTCAACTTGTCAATCAGATAAGTATGAAAGCATCGTAAATTCTATTTCTGAATTTCATTTTGATCCCGAAGCTGGTGTCATTTTCAGTTCGTGGTTTCACCGTTGTGAAGACATTTTCCGCGTCGAATGCTCACATCTTGACGACGCAGCTAAAGTACGCTTACTGTTAAGAAGACTTGGAACACAAGAATACAATAAATATGTGAATTTTATCTTACCACAAAATCCACGAGATATATCATTCAAAGACGCAGTCCAGATTCTATCTGATATTTTCGACGAACAGTCCTTACTATTTAATACTCGTTATAAATGTTTCCAAATAACGAAATCTCCAGAGGACGACTACCTAACGTATGCGTGGAAGGTAAATCGAGAGTGCGAACGCTTCAAAATAAACGACATCACAGCGGACCAATTTAAGTGCTTGATTTTTATATGTGGTCTAAAGAATGCAGAAGATGCAGATGTCCGTACCAGGATGTTGGCACGCATTGAACAAGAATCGAATATGACATTACAAATGGTCACAACTGAATGTCAGCGATTACTTAATCTCAAGCATGACACTGCGATGGTGCAACAGAGGGTTAAACCTTCCGATTCTGATTCAATTAGTGCGCTCCGATCCATAAAATCATCGAAACAAAACAGTACAAGCATGAAACAACCTGCCAACCCCCCATTACCATGCTGATTCTGCGGAGCATGACATTTTGCAAAATTCTGTCCGTTTAAGAATCATAAATGCCGCAAATGTCATCGCATTGGCCACAAAGAAGGTCATTGTTCGTTAAATAAACGCAAGACTAAACATCGTAGTGAAAATTCGAAGCAACGATCAAACAGTCAAATTAAAACCACGTTTGCAACCTTTAAAGTTGGATTTAAAAGTAGGCGGAAATTTGTAAATTTATTAGTAAATGAAAAACCTATACGACTTCAATTGGACACTGCTTCTGATGTCACGTTGATCTCAAAGAATACATGGCACAAGTCAGGATGCCCACGCATCCGACCGACGGAACATGTCTCTCGAAATGCTTCAGGAGACATAGTGAAGTTGACAGGAGAGGTTCTATGCAACGTTCAACTCATGGGAAGTAAATTTACAGATGTTTGTTATCTCACAAATCGACACGATTTAGATTTATTGGGATTAGATTGGATTGCGCATGTTGATACCTTGAATAAATTATTAGATGAGGTATGTTCTCATAATGTTTCCTATGAGTCTATCCAAATCCCTAATGATATTTCTAAATCGAATGCCTCCGATGAATCATCCTCTCTTGATATTCATGAATTAAATGCTTCTAATGAAACATGTTCTCATAATCTTTCTGAATCAAATACTTCAAATGTTATGTGTCCTCACGATGCTTCCAAATCTAATACTTCAGACAAAGTATGTGCCGGTGAGACTTCGGAATCTCATGTACTTCATTCTAATGTTATGTCTACATCAAAGTCTTCTGTTTCCTCTCAATTGTCGTCCGTATCTTACATAAATCATCTTCGACAAAAACATGCATGTGTATTTCAAAACAAACTGGGCTGTTGTAAATTCACCAAAGTATCCTTATCATTCAAGAAAAATGCAAAGCCCATTTTCAGACCGAAACGACCAGTGCCTTATGCTGCTCTGTCAGTCGTTGACCAAGAATTGGACAGGTTAGAAGCACTAGGTGTCATTGAGCCAGTAAATTATTCATCGTGGGCTGCCCCCATAGTGGTCGTGAGAAAAGCAAATGGAACTGTTCGCATATGTGCTGACTTTTCCACTGGTCTGAATAATGCTCTAGAAGATCACACGTATCCACTTCCCATACAGGAAGATTTATTCATCAAACTAAATGGAGGAAAGTATTTTGCTAAAATTGACCTTGCTGACGCATATCTTCAGATAGAAGTCGATCCAGCCTCCCAACCATTACTGACGATTAACACCCACAGAGGTCTTTACCAATATAAGCGTTTACCTTTTGGTGTGAAACCAGCACCAGCTATCTTTCAACAAATAATGGACACTATGTTGGCTAATTTGCCAGGAGTCGCTGTCTATTTGGATGATGTAATCGTTACAGGTTCCAGTAAGTCCGAGTTATTCAATCGACTCGATACTGTTTTAACCAAAATATCTGAGTGTGGATTCTATCTAAAAGAAGAGAAGTGTACATTTTTCATGAACTCGGTGAAATATCTTGGTTTTGTTTTCGACAAAAATGGACGACGCCCGGATCCGGAAAATGTACGAGCTATCCAAAATATGCCTCCTCCATCTAATGTAGCAACTCTGCGTTCCTTCCTTGGTCTTATCAGTTATTACAGTAATTTCTTGCCACAATTGCATCGCCTCCGGGCACCCATGAACCAATTATTATCCAGTAATGTAAAATGGAATTGGTCCACTAAGTGTCAAAAATGTTTTGACGAAGTAAAGTCATTATTAACGTCGGATCTACTTCTTACATATTTTGATCCCTCGCTGGAAATCGTTGTTGCTGCAGATGCTTCTGACTATGGTATCGGTGCCGTCATATCCCATAAGTTTCCAGATGGCAAAGAGAAGGCTATCGCACATGCTTCCAGAACATTGACTTCAGCAGAACGCAAGTACAGTCAAATTGAGAAAGAAGGATTGGCATTAATTTTCGCAGTAAAAAAGTTTCACAAGATGCTGCATGGCAGAAAATTTACCTTAATCACTGATCATAAACCCCTATTATCAATTTTCGGATCTAAGAAAGGTATACCAGTTTATACCGCAAACCGCCTCCAACGATGGGCTACAATGCTATTGGGTTATGATTTCGTTATCAAATACAAATCTACCTCTGATTTTGGCCATGCTGATGCATTATCTAGACTAGACAGATCAAGGTCAAGTCATCACAAAGTACCAACGGGGTAAAAGCGATTCAAGGTCATAACGACCACAAATATTAATTAACGCCTGATTAAATGGAATTGGCTCACACGCCATCTTTACCGTGCGTCACTTCGCTTCACTCTCTTCTCTCCACTTACTTTGCTTCGTCCCTCTGATTGCCTGCCCATACCAATGAGTGCATGAAATATACATATTCTAAATTCATTTTCGTATTTGTCTTATTCAATTCCTTTATTCATTGACGCTGATTAAGTCGATGATTATATATGAGGATAGACGATATGTGTACTTCCATGACATTTATACGATGCAATTGGAGTCAGATCCCGGGCAACTAGAAGAGTTACGACGCCTCGTAGTGAAAGCCGAGACTTTGGAAGCCACAAAATCAGTAGCCCTTCTGACAACTAGGTCAACAATAAACATAGGAGCATAGAACGTCAGGACGATGTGGCAGACCGGAATCCTCGTCCAAATAGCAGTGGAAACGAGGAAATACAACCTGTCACTCAATGGATGAAGTGAAACTTATAGGACGCAATATGGACAGAAAAGAATATCTCCAGGAGGGGTGTTGGTGTGTTTCTGGTCATGAAGAAGAAAATTCATCACACGCACAATTGGTTGCACTGATATCCTGATCTCAAAACAAAGATTTGAGGTCAAATATTGGCAATATGGAAGCTTAATCTGAAGTCCTACTCACTGCCTTCTCGTGATATTAGTGTCGTCTACGAAATTGAGGACGAGAAGCGAATGTCCGGCGCTCTAACCGAGTTGGCGGATATGGTGGATTGACCTAGAGGAGTTGGAAAACCCTGATTATAAACCAATGATGCACACGGGCTCCAGTATCTTAAGGGAACAAATGGAGTATGAACCCTTAGAAAACCACCTGTTTCGGTCTGGGCACCTAGACACTATTCCAACCCACACACAAATCAAATTAATGAAACGCACTACTAGGAATATTATTCTTGCTTCAATTAGCATTCAGACAAATTACATTCACAATCATTTGATAGCATTCATTTTCATTTTTTAATATACTACGTCACTTATCTATTCTCTTCTATTCTCACTTTGTGTATTCTTACTTTTCAACTTATACAACAGTTCGCCTGTGGTGGAAATCTGTTCTACCACCGACTACGAATACTGAAACAGTCTTTCTGAAACCATGTATGCAATTCAAACCAATCTTTTTCAACGTTCGCACACTAAATGAGATCGGGCAACGGATAGGGTTGGCTGCCTTTAGAAAGTTTTAATATCGGCGTCTGATGTCTATCCGAGACCCTTATTCAAGACTCTACTAAAGTACTGCAAGTTCACTTTCCATCTGTCACTTCGAAGAGCTTGCTTCACGTGAGTTTATCTGGGGACCCTGTGGTATCTTCGTCTGGTTTTGCTGGCGTTGGTGTTTCATTAAGCGCTAGAGCTGAGGCAGCACTGAATGATTGGATTCCTAATGACAGTCGGTTATGTGCTGTTAAACTAGAAAGCTCCATCAAAGTGAGTAGAAATCAGTATAAGAAATGATGTGCTTTCGTCATCTCTGCATACACTCCGACATATTGCAAGCCGAATGCGATCAAAGATAAGTCCTACCACCTGTTAAGTGTTGTTCTGTAGAAAATACATCCGACAGATATTGTAGTACCAATGGGAAACTTGAAGGCACAGATCAGGTGTCTAGGCACGGAAGAGAGTTGGGTCGATGAGGACTTGTTGGTCGCAGGTCAGATAACGGTGACCATCTACTGCAACTGTGCGCAGATTACAACCTATTTCCGGCTAGAGCTAACTACTGGCACAGTCATCGCCGATGTGCCACTTGGCGTCCTCCCTCTGCATCTGAAGCCTGGACTCAGAATGATCACATCGCGATCAGCTATCGTTGGTGTGATATTGTGCAGGACTACTGCTCCTTTTGGAGTACCTATCTAGACTCTAATCATGCCCTTGTCCAGACAGCACAAACTCATCAGTTTAAAAGAATTAAAAATAACTTCTAAGCAAAAATATTACACATATAACTTTGCATAAAATCAGTAACGAGGACGCCTACCGCATATAGGCATTTGTAACGAATATTCTAGCATGTAGTGTTGAGATGAATCCTAAGATGTTATGTTATTTACAGGATAATACTGGTTGTAACGTTGATTTGGGAGAAGCACTCAGAATTCCGAAAGGAAAGTGGGCTCATGAGGACAAGAATACGTTGTCCTTTATTATTAATAATGTCGACTTACCTTAAATTGATATTAAGCACTTTAATGGACAGCCTGTTCAGTAACACCATTTTGTTAGGCAGGTTACTAGCTTCATAGTAAGTAAATTGAACGACGAGAGTCAACAGTAATTATATTTGCTTTACTTTAATAAACGAGAACACAGGTGGGGACAATTAATGTACTTTAATCCAAATCTATAGAATATCTTGTTAAAATATGAGAACCATACGCTGAATACTTCATTCGCGAATTCCCATCATTTATCCTTCACACTCTGTATGACTTTTCCAGTTCATGATTCCTTTCTATTTTCGCTTCTGTTCTCTTCAACTCGATCTTCTTAGCCTTCTGCTACCAGGTTTTTCACTTCGGATTGGTGTTACATACTTCTAATGTATGTCGACATAAGCAACATACACCACAATACTACTGTAAAGGATAAGCCAGGACAGCCATTGAAACTTGCATCTCCTTGCCTTGTTGTTTGGATTACGACAGAGTGGGATAGATTCTGTATGATATATCTTGAAGGGAACGTCTGATTGCCCGTAAACTAAGTGTAAATTGGCTTAATCGTAAATCTGTTTGGTGCTCAGTAGATGATATGGCTGACTTCACAATCAAGTTACGTAACGCATATAACACTGAGACAAGTGGGATGTGTGTCCGATGTAAACTGTACAGCTAATGTGGAAATAGTTGTGTCACGTTTACTACTGGATTTACAGGATAGGTGGGAAGAGGTTGTCGACAAAACCATGATGGCAGTTGTATATCATGTTGTTTTTGGAATCTCTAGGACGTGGCCTGTTATAGTGACAGTTCTTATAGTGTGTATAGTGTTTTGGAATGTTAACCGATCTAATCTGTAACATTATTATTCTTATTTGTTTATAGATATGGGAAGATGAATATTTAAAATGGAATGAACCGGAATTCGGAAATGTAAGAACTTTGCGTGTACCAGCTGAGCAAGTATGGACTCCAGATACTTATGTATTTAATAAGTAGGCAAATTTTCTATATATTATTTTTCATAGTAAATAGATAATACACATAGGGAAAACTTTCAGTGAGTTTTCAGTTAATGTCCATCTCTACTGAACGCTACTTTCCTAGAATTTGTTCACCTGATTTCATGGGACTGCACCTCCTGACGTTGCTCCACTGACTTGTGGATTAGACCTTTAGATCAAAGGCTCCGGATGTGACCCATTAAAATAACCACCTGTTTGGATTTGAACACCTGGACAGTATTCCAGCCTTCACACCAATCGAATGACTTATGACTTAGTAGAATTTCATATTTTTTGTTTTGTTTTTCAAAACTATGAGTTTGTCAATTAAATGTACTTACATGTCAGTTTGTACATTTCATTAATGGGACTTGGTCCATATATTCTGTAATTCTAAACAGGAAATATTTATTAGTCACTTAACTGATAAATGACTTATGGTAATGAACACTTCTAAGGAGTCTCATACTAGGACGAAACGATCGTCTAGTGCTTCCGGGTTTTCCATGGTGGTCTAACTTCAATTGTCTCATGAGCTAAACTATTAAATTACTATAATATCCGCAAAAACCTCTGATTATAATCATCATATGCTCACTAGTGACGGTCTCCAAGAGGTATATTTTGGAGTTCTAGTGAGAAGCTGTGACCAATTGAGCTCAACCGGGTCTGTTGTGAGATAGTAATTTACTGATGACAATGGTGGATGCGTCGCTCAATTTCGTGGATTAGTTGAGGTTAGAAAATAACACCGTTGGATGCCAATTCAGTGGCTTAGTGGTTAAGCGCTCGCGCGCGACCGATAGGTTCTAGGCTCTAATCTAGCGTAGCGGGATCGTGCATGCGCACTACTGAGGGATCCCACAATAGGACGAACGGACGTCCTGTGTTTTCAGGTTTTCTATGGTGGTCTAGCTTCAATTGACTCATGAACTAAACTATTAAGTTACTATAATATCCATACAACGCCTCTCTGATTATATTTTGATTTATGGTTTAATATTAAAATTATTTGTTGATGATATGTCTTTTTATCTTCTGAAAGTAAACATATGAGTTATTATTGCTTTAAGTGAACTCTTAATTGAAAATTACTAAGGAAAAAGAAAACATATATATTGACTATTTGTCATACTTGGACAATATAGTTGATTGAAACTAAATTCCGAGCTTAGTTGCTATTTTATAACAATAAAAACTTCATTGAATGTATGAAATGTCTTTCATTTTGGAATTTATTCACAGAACTCAACCTTCTTGCTGTATGAATAAAGAGGGTATAAAAACACTCACGATCTTGTAGCAGTAAATAAGTCCTCAATAGCTCTGTAAGTCTTCGATATTGGATGCTGACCACAATAGTTTCATTAAAGAGAGCAAGAACAAAGAATGGTGCAAAATAATATGAATTCATTTTATTTCGTTAGGTTCTCATCAGCTGCTTACAACCTAAATTACTTGAAATTCAAAATCATTACAGATATTGACATATTTATATATAAGAGGGTGATTAAAGATGAATAAATGTATCATGGTGTAGCGAAGATTCCGATAGAGTTAATGAGGTCACAAAATTTTTGTCTCGAATAAATAGAGTTTGAGAGGGAAAGTTCCAGAACATTGAAATAGTGATTAGAACTCATGAAAATAGATTAATGGTAATAAAGAAAATATGAATTGAAATCAATCATTTATGTATGATGTAATTTAAAAGAGTTGGAGTAATGACGCAATAAATTAATAGAGAAATAAATGAATAAAAAGGTAGGTTATTGTTACCAAGGTGAAGAAAGATTTATTACTGTCTCTTTTGTGTACATAGATCTGGTTTTAGACGTTTTATTGCTATCGCTTCGGCAAATTTCAAACGTTGGAGTTTGATTGTATGTGAATCACAATAGTTTCAATGGACTCATGCAGCTGAAGGCGCTCAGTGATCTATCCGCATTAGATCACGAGTGAGTACGCCGTGCTCAACTTCCCCTGCAATCGCTAGCCAGTTTAGATCAGTCGCATCTCGATATATTGATAGCCTATCAAATATAACTTCAAACCTCCTCGCTTCTGTCTTTTGATTTTACTGAGTGGGCACGATTCATTTATAGAATCTGTTACTAGTTGAAGTGTTATCAAACTATAAATACAGGTGGCATCTTCAATCTCTAGTAGTGAGACCTCTTTGGTTTAAAGAGAAATCTTAGACTAATTATTAAGTTCCAATATAAATTTGATGAGAAGGTTCTAAGCAGCTTTATATATATATAATCATGTAGCAAGCTTTAGAATATTGACCAATTGAATAACTGTTGACTCTATTAACAAAGTGTGGGAAGATTTGTAGCTCAGGTGGATGGATTTGATGGAGTTTGTCTCTGAGCTGGATGGTTCGGTCGTGGAGCTTTCATTGTTCTCCTAAACGACATCATCAGCACCAAACCATCCAGCTCAGAGAGCAAAACTCCATCAATAATCAAGTGTACTTATCAAACTATAATTTATCTTTTTATTACAGTGCTGATCATACAAATTCTGGTTTTCTAGAAGGTGTCTATGTTTTAATTCATAGTTCTGGTAAAGTATCATGGCCAATTCCAGTTCAATTAAAAACATCATGTAAAGTCGATATTACATTATTTCCATTTGATCATCAAAATTGTGAAATACAATTTGGATCATGGATGTATACATCTGATTGGATTAAATATAAATTTCAAACGGATCAACATAATAAATCAACAACAATGAAAAATTGGAAATACTCTAAAAAATTATCATCTTCTTTAGTATCATTATTGTCAAATACCTCGAATCGACATTTAACTACAGAAAGAAGAGATCATGACGAAATAGGACAAGATGACCTTGATAATAATAATAATAATAATAATAATAATAATAATAATAATAATAATTTTGAGGAAGATTATCTGACTAGAAATGCATTAGATACATCATCTTATTGGGATAGTACAGATTGGATGCTGAAACATGCTATATTATCCTATACTCATCGATCTACTGATACATGACTGTTTGGAAACCAACCACAAGTATATTAACATTCAGTTTCATGATAATAAATTGGACACTAGACAAACTGACTTAGTATTAAAACTATTCTTACAAAGAAGAAGTTTTTTCTACATTTGGAATATTGTCGTACCATGTATACTATTAACATTGCTTACATTAATCACATTTTGGACACCAATTGATTCAGGTGAAAAAGTTACTTTAGGTTTATCAGTATTTTTAGCATTTTCTATGTTTATGATGTTGATAGCTGAACGTGTACCGCCAACAGCCAAGAATATTCCACTTAGGTGAGTGATATTGATTTGTTTTCAGTTTTATTCATGAATACTAATTTTTAAAGTACTTTTTGTACCTGTTTGGATAGCATCAGTACAACTCCTTGTGTATGTGAAGCATTTTCTTCTTTATGGCCAGAGTATAACAGGAGCTCCCGTGAAGCTAACCGTTGTTGTGTGTTTCACTGATTCCAAGCAAATCCAGGTTTTATCTCTTCATTTCTGCAACAATTTGGAAGACTCTCCTGATCTCTCACATTGTACGAGCATTCCATGTACCTAAATTAATGGTTGCTCTGGTTTCCAGAAGGAGCATCAGCCTCGTGACTTCCGAAGAAAATCAGTTTTTAACATGAGGCGTCATAACTCTTCTAAAATGATGACATTCTAACTCCCGGGGCAGAGTTTAGATGGTTTGAATTATTTTTTCTGGCTAGCGTTTTTTCAGTGAGTTAATTTTCTACGGGATGGGGTCGCTAACCCCATGCCAAACCCTCCTCCTTTATCCGGGCTTTGGACTGACAGTAGCACCAGGTGTGCTCCAGGCGTAGTTATAAAGGGTGACATTTTACAAATAATGTAAGTAACATAGTGGTTTTTGGAGATTCACACACTCTACACATATTAATGAAAATTTTTCTATTCTTTTCATTGCATTTTACTATCACCCGTCGTCAAATAAAATTAATAGTTTTAAAAATGACTTTACTGATTAATACTGTTGTCCGACATTATTGCCACAGTTATTGTGATATCGATGCCTGTTGATTAGACTTTAGGTTATGATTGGAAATATTTAAAAATAAATGAGTGGTTAACTTTGTTTCAAAATGTATGCTCAATTGTAAAAGAATACACTGTTTGTCAATTGTATGAATTTGGTAATTAGCTATAAATGGTACATTGTTGTAGTCGAATTTGTTGGAATCCATCTATCATAAACTGTTTTGATTGAATGTTCAAAGTGGCACTGTTGTATCAGAATTTAATATTGAAAGAAATTCTATCAGATGATCTCACGCCCCCTGGTACAGCCGAGAGTGGGAAGAGTCAGTACTCCCTTTCCAAATGCTCTCACATGGCCACGTGCATACAACCACTGACGAGGAAGTCCTGCTCACTGTCTTCTCGTGGTATTACTATTGTTTACGAAATCGAAAGGACGAAAAACGAATGTCCAGAGCTTAAACTGGGTTGGTGGGTATGGAGGGTTGACCTGCGGGAGTTGGAAAACCCTGATTTCAAAGCGATGGTGCACATGGGCTCCAGGATCCTGAAGGAACAAGTGGCGTATGAACTAATGGTTGGTCACCAACTAACTTAGGCCTGCATCTCCTGACGTTGCTTCACTGATTTGTGAATTAGAATTTTAGGTCAAAGGCTCGGGTTGTGGCCCCCCGAGTAAACTACCTGTTTTCGTTTGGGCACCCGGACAGTATCCCAGCACTCACACAAATCGAATGATTTATGTGGCGCATATATATTTGGTGCCTCCTTGTACCAATGTTTATGTGTTTGAATAAATAAATAAGATAGTATCGCTATCGTGAAATATAATATCGTAATCTAGGAAAAAAAGGTTACGCCAATGCCATTTGGTACAATGGGCTGTTAATGGACATTGAGATGAAGAGTAGTATCACGTTTCTTACATGAAATCAGTATAGGCGTTGTGGAGATTATTACGTTTTTGATTGAGATCATGAACCGATTGATGTAAGACCACCGTTGGAAACCTGGGAGCACTGTTTCGTCCTATTTTGAGATTCCTCAGTAGTGTGCATCCACGATCCTGCTCGCGGGATTCAAACCCAAGCCCTCCAGTCTGGTGAGCGAACGCTTAACCTACTGGACCACTGAGCCGGCATCCAATGGTGTTAGTGTTCAACATTATGTCCATTATGTGTCCGTTATGCCGACTGTAGTTGACAAGTATTGTGACAACAAGAAAACTGGTAAAAAATACGTACATATAATTTCACTATCAAAAGAAAGAGAGATTATATATATCATCCAAATTAAGTTCGAAAAAATTGTTGACGATGACAAGTTTCCCGTCGATAGAGACAGATTTCGAATCAAAACAGTGATTATTGTATCTAAAGGTTGATAAAGTTAAAAAATACACAAGGATAACATTATTTTCTCTCTAACAATTTCAATGAATTTTTTCAGTGTATTACTCCGATTAACAGTCAAACGATTCACATTATTATTATTGGGTTGTTGTGAGCACCTGGGGTTTTCTAATATGCTTCAAGGTTCTTCGGCTAATAAGTATGATATCGGAAGCAGTGTCGAGCTGCAGGCGAGCATGGTGACCGTCAACCTCGATAGTTACATATTTCCGTCGACTATGTCCTGATAATGTATGAGCTACCATTATTTGGCTGGTTGATGCATGGGGTTTGTTTCCCGGAATGAAATCGTGATGGACGATGATACATCTTTTTACAGCAAGATTCTTTATTTTCTTTCCACTAACATTTAGTACAACAGTAGCTTTTAGGGCAAAACTTCTTGTAATGCCACTCGCCGCATAATCAGCACGAGGATGGAGGCTGATTATGTATATGAATGGTGTGAATAGTCCACCAGGGTGCTTGGTACCTGTGTGGTTACGTCACAGGATTGAGCTATACTATTCAAATTGTGGCATTAAAGTCTATATGGTGTCTGGTTCTCCTGTGAAGCGGGATTGGACTGCATACTCGGGTTATAGAATTTCAGTCTGGGTGATATCTGGCTCTCCTGCAAGTGGGATTGAGCCGTACTGTTTGGATTGTCACGTGGAAGTCTGGATGGTGTCTGGTTCTCCTGAAAACCAATGTAAAATTACACTGACCCACAAGGGTATTTTATATATTAATAATAACTGTATTCAGTAGTAAACGCACTTCTATTTTCTACAGTATTCTCGACTAGGTGGTTTAATTGTTGGCTACATAAACAGCCCGATCGAAGCTGTTACCTTGACGCGGTGGTCGAGCTTGCCTATCGTGATGACCCAACCGAGCTATATTGGCTGGAACATATGTTCCTGTAGGTTCTACCATGCCAGGCAGGTCGATTGGAGAACGGTAAGACTAAAAGCAGCAACTCAAGGTCTGAGGGCGAAGTCGTACTGCTGACTGTAGAGGGTGTGACAGCAGTAAGGTGTTTCCTTCGGACAACCAGCATGACAGCGATGCTGCCTTCCCACGAGGGGTGGGGTTAGAAAAGGTCGACCCTAAAAATGTCACACCTCACCTTACCTCACGGATTTCCGTCTCCGGCGGTAAGGCCCTTTGAAGAACGGAGCTAACACGTCAAAAACCTTCCACAAAAAGGCCGTGCGCGACCGGCCTCAAGCAGTTGTCCCTTGGGCTCTGCGGTCACGCTCCCAGGTCGTCAAGACCAACACTAATCCAATTTCCTTTTCAGGTTCCTCAAGAAATACCCTTCCACGGTGTGGGCAGCCGGGAAGTGACATCAGCCCTCATACCCGTAACAGCACAAGAGACCAAGGTGGTCACATTCAAATCCTTCCTACACCTCCTAATACCTCTCTTATCTCCATGACTAACCCTCCTCACGTCTCTTTATCACCTCGCACCGCTAGGGCAAACGATTCGAGTACGTGGAACGCCATTCCTGGTCTCCTGAAACCACGCTCTAAACTACACGTAGGAGCTTTTAACGTACGAACACTTTGCCAAATAGGACAGCAGGCTTCCTTAGCTAAAACTTTAGAATCTCGCGCCATCGATGTGTGCTGCGTCTCCGAAACGCGCATACAGGATCCGAGTAGCGTCATTCATTTGACCTCACCATGCCAAAATAAAGAACCGACTCGATTTACGCTTCGTGTATCTGGAAGCCCTGATTCTGCTTCCCGTGGCCTCGCCGGCGTAGGTATAGCATTGAGTCCTAGGGCAGAACTAGCTCTCTTAGAGTGGATCCCAGTAGACAGTCGTTTGTGCGCTGTCCGACTGAACGGAACAGTAAGAATCCGGAAAGATAGGGACACTCGTCGTTGCCTCTTCGTCGTCTCTGCCTATTCTCCCACTGACTGCAGCTCAGATGATGTAAAAGATGAGTTTTACAGAAAGCTTTCGGACCTTCTCCGAAAAGCTAGGCGCTCGGATGTAGTAATAGTGGCCGGTGACTTTAATGCTCAAGTAGGTAAACTAAGCGATAGGGAAAGACACCTAGGTGGATCTTATGGTGTCGTGGCTCAAAGAACAGATAATGGCGACCGTCTGTTGCAGCTATGCTCAGATAACCGCCTGTTCCTTGCAAATACTAACTTTAAGCATAAGGAAAAACATCTTTTAACATGGCGACCCCCTAATTCGTCCCAACGTTGGACCCAAATAGATCACATCGCTATCAGCCACCGATGGAGGGGCTCGATAGAAGACTGTCGCTCATTCTGGAGCACATGCCTAGATTCAGATCATGCTCTAGTGCGAGCGCGTATTTGCTTGCGTCTTACTGGACGTAGGAAAGACGCTGCAAGGAAACCTCTTAGGGCCTACTTAATGATAGTCAAGCTAAGAGTATATTTCAGGAACAACTAGGAAAACAGTTAGGCAGCCATGTATGTGATGCCCACCCCGATGCAGCATGGAATGATATCCGAAAAGCTGTGGAAACAGCAGTGATATCTGCTAGTAAGGTAAACCAGAAGGTTAGGGAGCAACACTGGATCTCAGCAGCATCTATCGCACTGATAGATGCTCGGAAACTCATTCCACCTGGCTCTGAACATAATGAAGAGCGGAGTCAGCTTAAGCGCAAGCTGACAAGAAGTCTACGCAATGATCGCGAACAGTGGTGGGTAGCGAAAGCAAGAGAGATGGAAAAGGCAGCGGCAATAGGTAATAGCAGACAATTGTTCAGACTCGTTAAGGAAACCGGAATTAGGAACCCGACCGTTAGCGAAACAATCTCAGAGAAAGATGGACATATTATTCATTCTCAATCCAGGAGATTGGATCGATGGGCAGAACACTTTAGGGATCAGTTCAACTGGCCTTCAGCCACACTTCGGTTTCCCACGATCTCCAGGCAAGTTAATGTAGGTCCTCCGTCCCTTTACGAAGTTGAAAAAGCCATAGGAAATCTGAAACGAGGGAGAGCAGCAGGCCCTGACAGGTTTACTCCTGAGATTTTTAAGGATGGTGGTCCAGTATTAGCAATGAGATTAACCGAGGTCTTAGGTAGAATTTGGGAACTGGACGTAATCCCATCTGACTGGTCTCAATCACTGATTGTGCCAGTCTATAAGAAAGGACAAAAGTCCTCTTGTGACAATCACAGAGGAATCAGTTTGACTAATATAGTGTCTAAAATATTAGCTTCAATAATACTTCGACGCCTAACAAAGCTCGTGAAGAGCAGACTAGAGAAAACCAGGCTGGTTTTCGACCTGGACGTGGTTGTATAGATCAGATATTCACACTACGTCAGGTTCTAGAACACAGACACACATTCAGACGCCCCACAATGGTAGTATTTCTCGACCTTAAGGCGGCATTCGACTCTGTTGATCGTGAGGTTCTATGGCAGTGTTTGTCACTGAAAGGAGTACCAAAGAAGTACATTAACCTTATAAAGGCTCTCTACTCGAACACAACTGGTAGAGTGAGAGCTTATGGCGAACTGTCATCAGAATTGATTACCTCAAGTGGTGTTCGTCAGGGCTGTCCACTCTCCCCATTCTTGTTCAACTTTGTGGTCGACGTACTTTTAGAGATAACACTCTCCTCATCTAAATTTCCAGGGGTTGAACTTCTACCGGGAGGTTCACTTGTTGACTTAGAATATGCTGATGACATAGTTTTATTTGGTGAAGACGCTGACAAAATGCAGAGTCTTCTGACCACTCTAAGCAACAATGCAAGCATGTTCGGGATGCGATTCTCTCCCTCGAAATGCAAAATGTTGCTTCAGGATTGGGTTACATCGACACCCGAACTAGTGATAGGGAGTGAAGTAGTTGAGTGTGTCGACCGCTTCACTTATCTTGGAAGTCTCATCAGCCCTTGTGGTTGGTGTGTGACGAAATCTCAGCACGGATACAGAAGGCTCGACTAGCTTTTGCCAACTTGCGTCATTTATGGCGTAGGCGAGATATCCGTCTATCAACCAAAGGACGGTTTACTGCGCAGCAGTTCGTTCCGTCCTACTTTATGGCAGTGAAACATGGCCGGTAAGAGTAGAGGATATTCGTAGGTTACTAGTATTTGATCATAGGTGTCTTCGAAACATTGCTCGTATATCATGGGACCATCGAGTAAGTAATGCAGTTGTTAGGAAACGGGTACTAGGTAAGGATGGCAAATCAATTGATGACGTAGTGAAACTTCATCAGTTGAGATGGCTGGGACACGTGTTACGTATGCCCAACGACCGACTGCCTCGACGTGCGATGTTCTGTTGTATAGGAGTAGGTTGGAAGAAAGCTAGGGGTGGCCAGACCAAAACATGGCACAAGTCCATGAAGTCACTGACAAGTGGACTGAGTCATGTTGGTAGGTGTAGACTACCTGGTTGGGGACCGCGAGATGATAGCAACCGATGGTTAGAGACCCTGAATGACATGGCTCAAAATCGTTTGCAATGGCGCAGGTTCATCCACTCTTTGTGTTCTGCCAAATTCTAATCTTCTAAATTCTTCATGTTCCTTTCTTTTTTCTCTTTCCAAATTTATTTCACTGGGTTATACTCCTTGAATAGCATCTTCAAACCCTAATGTTTCTGATTACAGCTTATAATTTTACTACATCTAGCACTACGGGATTTGAATCGACCACTGCATCTCTGTGCTAATGTGGTGTGGCAACTCAAACTGATGTACGTACGTACGAAGTTCTACGTTGTTACTGACTGACTGACTGACTGGCTGACTGGCATATACAGAAATCCGTAAAGATGTTCCTGTTGAGTCAGTGTACAGCAATGAGTAATTGAAAAAAATATTAGTCCATAATGTTATCAAATATTCCAAATGAGTCATGGGAACCTCGAATTACATAAGACAATTATGTCGTTAGTGGCGTCAATTAATACACGAGCTTTGGAGTAGATTCAGTTGGAGTTGCTATGTTATTGGAAGCTTCGATAAAATACTTATTGCTTTTTCTTATTTTTTCGACAACGCCCTACATGATAAAAGATTCTTTCATTGATACTTCAAAACGTGGAAATGTACCGTTACCATTAATTTTATGCAAAAATATATTTCTAACCATATTCAATTTGTCGTCCTTTATTCCCCATATGTAGGAGTGTATATGACTTCAGTAATGTCAATAACAACTGGAACAGTTGTTGTGTGTGTAATTGTCATTAATTTAGACGCCAAAGGTGAGAAGCTATCACGTGCACCAAAATGGTTGCGTCGTATCACACAGTTTAGTTTATTTCAATTATTCTACAAGGAAAATTGTTGTGATGTGAATGAATCAGCAGCTGTTTCATCGTTAGTAAGTCATAGTTGTTTTCATTTGATAATTAGATGCACAACTAACCTTCTAAACATCATCTGTTTATAGTTAATAGATGAAAAGTTAAAGGGTGATCAAATTATTGTCATTTAACAGTTAATTTAATGCCTGGAAACCCCCTGGAGCTACTTCCGGTCCCAAACCCCGATAAAGGAGAAGGGTTGGGCGTGGGTTTATCGACCCCATCCCGTAGAATACTAACTTGTTAACAAATGCTAACGAGAAAAAAAACATTCAAGCCATGAAATATTTTAATAGACAAGAAAATAAGTCCAGCGGTTTATTACCAATCGTTATTTATTATGGTGTTTAGTCATTTATTGTACTGAGCATATTGTAGCTTGATCAATGGGTGTGAATGGGAACTAAGAGCCAGTCAAACATAAGTGATCAATTTTTAATCAAAGTTGGATGTTGGATAGTAGCTGAACCCATGACGCGCGTTTCTTCTTATTTCAAATTCATTGGTTGACTATACTTATATTTTTGTGTTGATGTTTACTGCAGCGATCGAACACAGCGTTTTTCGCTCCAAACGCCAACACCTTATCCACTTAGCTATTGAGTTTCAGTAGCCACTGACTTGTACATTTGGGCTGAGATTGATCAATATTCAGTCGTTAACATGAACAACGATAAGATTGAAACTGTCATGATTTAATTATATTTCAACGACATTGTACAAGACAGTGGCTTTGGGAACTCAGTAGCTAAGTGAATAAATTGTTGACATCCGAACCTAAGACACTGGGTTCGATTACCGTAGTAAACATCAACACAGTAATAGAAGTATGCTCAGATGACGAGTCCTTCATGGGACTGTACTACTATTCTGTAAATAAGTTATCTGGTTCATCTAATGATGTCATTCTTGTGACCTCATTCATATAAACATAGTTTATTATTTCAGCTAGAGAATTTCACTGCACGAAGTTTGATTTGTGTTAGATATATTTAAAATTATAAATCCTCTGACAATATGAGATATATTAAACTAATCTGAAGTTAGAATTTTTGCTTGATACACATGTACTACTCATATTACAATTACAATAATAATAAACAATTTAATAATATGAATAGTTGAGATCATGAGTCAATTGAAGCTACACCGCAATGGAAAACCTGAACCTACTGTACGGCCACTTATTCCTATTGTAGGACTTCTCAGCAGTGCTCATCCACGACCCCACCTCGCAGGTTTCGAACCCCAGAACCTATCAGTTTCGCGCGCGAGCGCTTAACCATTAGACCACTGAGCCGACTAATCCACGAAATTGAGTGACACATTCACCATTGTCATCAGTGAGTTAATATCTCACAACAGACCCGTTTGAACTCCACTGGTCACTACTTCTAACTAGAACTCCAGGATATACATCTTGAAGCCAGTCACTAGTGAGCATATGTTGATCATTATCAGAAGGGGTTTTGTGGAGATTGACTCATAGTCTCAACTATTGAAATTACTACAATCTTCACAAAACCCCTTATGATACTAATTTAATAATTATCATTATAAACAACATTGAAATTGTTGTAATGAAATACTTTAAAGCATTTCTGTCAAGACTATAATTTATGAACGAACCCCAAATGCCCTGGTACGGCCGAGAGTGGGCAGAGTCCGCTCTCCCTCTCGAAATGCGCTCACATGGCCACGCGTATATAGTCTCTGCCAGGGAAGTCCTACTCACTGCCTTCTCGTGGCATTACTGTTGTTTACAAAAATGAGAGGACGAAAAGCGAATGTCCGGCGCTTTAACCGGATTCCAAACCATTGGTGTACACGGGCTGCAGTGTCGTGCGGGAACAAATGGTGTATGAACCAACTGTTGATCACCGGGTACCATGGGAGTGCATCTCCTCACGATGCTCCACTGCCTTGTGGGTTAGACCTTTAGGTCCAAGGCTCGGGGTGTGGGGCCCCCTAATAAAACCACCTGCTTCGGTTTTGGCACCCGGGCAGTATCACAACCCTCACACATATCGAATGAGATTTGTACCAATGTTTATGTGTTTAAATAAATGAACGAACCAATCAAGTCTCGGATTTTATCGCGAAATTCACCTATCCATTTGGCTAAATAAAGTTTTGACATTATAACTGATATCAGTTCGTGATGAAAACCTTAAATGTAACCTTAATCACCAATAATAAATCAACATCCTAATTCCTTATATACAGGTATCATAATCCTTATTTAATCCTAGTTACTAGGTGAACACCCTCAAAGTCATTTTAGCATCATTCAAAAATTTATACATAAGTTTTAGTTTCATTTGATTTACTCTTTTTATTTTTAGATAGAAAACTTTTCAACCTTCAATTCGGTTCAAGAAAAAAAATTATTAGAAATTGATTCACAAATCAAACTACTTACAAAATTAAATGATTTACTTGTTATAAATAAAAGCTTCAACAAAAAAATTAGATCTATCTATCATAATTATTTAAAGAAATCATATTTAAAAGATGAATGTTCATTGAATGGAACTTCTTTCAGTCCTATCTATTATCATAATATCATTGTAAATGAATCTAATCACCATGGAACTTTAATAGATTTATCAATACCATTAAAAGTAAAACCATTATCAACTATTCAAAGTATAACATTGAATAGAACCAATATAAATTCTCGAATTCATAAGGCGTATAAAGTTTATTCTTCTATGGAACAGGATTGTTTATTGAAAAATGACTTATCATCATTATCATCGTCATCAATACTAAATCTTACTACTTGTAATGTTCATAGTAATAATAACCATTCCCAAAGTGTATATCAATTGAATTTGAAAAGTCAAGAAGATGTTAGAAATGAATTAATTAAATATGAATGGAAGGTGATAGCTAAAATAATAGATAGATTATTATTTATTACATTTGTTATTATTACATTAATTTGTTATATAACCATTTTTTTATGGCCTTTAATATCTGGTTCTACTGTTTTATATCGAAAAAATTAACTGTTACTTACTTACTTACTTACGCCTGTTACTCCTCGTGAAGGAGCATAGGCCGCTCACTAGCATTCTACATCCAACCCTTTACTAAGCAATCCTTTCTCGCTCTTTCCAGTTGTTATTCTTCCTTTTCATATCTGTTTCTATTTCCCAAAGTAATGTGTTCTTTGACCTGCCTCTTTTCCACTCCCCTTCAGGATTCTAAGTGAGCACTTGCCTTGTCATACAGTTTGGTGATTTCCATAATGTATGTCCGATCCATTTCCAAAGTCTTTTCCTAATTTCCTCTTCAGCTGGAAGCTGGTTTGTTCTCTGCCACAGAATGGTGTTGCTGATGGTATCCGGCCAATGGATGTTGAGTATCTTGCGTAGACAACTATTTATAAATACTTGTACCTTTTTGATGGTGGTTGTAGTAGTTCTCCGAGTTTCAGTTTCATACAGTAGGACTGTCTCGACGTTCGTATTGAAGATTCTGACTTTGATATTGGTTGAAAGTTGTTTTGAGTTCCATATGTTCTTCAATTGTAGGAATGCAGCCCTTGCTTTGCCAATCCTCGTCTTTACGTCTGCATCCGATCCTCCTTGTTCATCGGTAACACTTCCCAGATACGTGAAAGATTCCAAATCTTCCGGAGTTTCGCCATCAAGTGTGATTGGGTCAGTGTTCTCCGCATTGTATTTAAGTATGTTGCTTTTTCCTTTGTGTATGTTGAGGTCTTCTGATGCAGAGGCTGCTGCTACACTAGTTGTCTTCATCTGCATTTGTTCGTGTGTATGGGTTCGGAAGGCTGAGTCATCTCTGAAATCCTAATTGTCTAATTGGTTCTGGTCTGTCCATCGTATTGCGTGCTTTCCCTCAGATGTCGAGGTCTTCATAATCTAATCAACCACCAGAAGAAAGAGGAAAGGGGAGAGTACACAGCCTTGTCTGACTTCTGTCCTTACTTGGAATGCATCTGTCAACTGTCCTCCATGCACGACTTTGCACTGTAGTCCGTCGTATTAACCATTAACCATTTAACTTTTGTGATTATATTATTATCTCCTTCATATGTAATTAACTATTTCAAGTGATATTACAGTTTTCGAGATGGTGGAGAAGATTTGTAGCTAAAATGGATGATTTTGATGGAGCTCTAAGAACAAAACTCCATCAAAATTACAGTTCTCTTCCCCATAATCATATGGAATGAGATATTCAGACCAATGTTTCTTCTTCTTCTTCTTCTTCTTCTTCTCTTCTTCGAAATCCTAACCGTAACATCGATTTCTATCAAAGATTGAATTCTATTCGTATTCAGTCTATCTAGTTACATAATTTTTAACTCTCTGTAATATCTCGATTCTTCAGAGATTTATTATATTTTTAAGGGCGTCAAACATACTGTCTTCATATTGTCTGCTTGAAACACTAGTCTTTAATTTTTTTACGTCTCTTTTTAAGTCATTCTTGATCGTACTTATTTTGTGGCTCACATGCCTTCTCCACCGCGCGTCACTTCTCTTCGCTTCTCCGATATTTTGTCTGAATCAACGATGGTATGAAATATACGTATTCAAAAATTCATTTTCGTATTCCGTTATTCACTAACGCGATTTAAGTCGATGATTATATACGAGGATAGGCGATATATATATATATATATATATATATATATATATATATATATATATATATATATATATATCGACAGTAATCATTCAATAACGAACATTCATACGATCTAACTGGAGTCAGATACCGGTCCACTAAAAATCTTATGTATGGAAATAAGTTTCTCTTTACTGACAAAAAAATCGCCTAGCAACTAAATGTTTTATCATTTAATATATATATTTTATTTAGACACATTAGAGATTGTTACTTTTGGACAGACTAAAATGAAAAAAACAGCCTTAAAAATACGAATAAGTATTCATCGTTTGTTAAACCATATCACTATTCAACAATACGATTACATGATTCGTAGCATATTGTATAGAAATTACTTAATTACTTACGCTTGTTACTCTTCGTGGAGGAGCATAGGCCACTCGCCAGCATTCTACATCCAACCGTGTCCTGTACAATCCTTTCAAGTTGTTATTCATCCCTTTCATGTCGGCTGTTTCACGATGTAATGTGTTCTTTGGCCTTCCTCTTTACAGCATCACATCAGGATTCTATGTTACGGCTTGCCTCGTGGTGCTTGTAGCACTCCTAGAGCAACTGACAGTCCCAAGCCCGGGTAAAGGTAGAGGATTGGGCATGATGTTAGCGACCCCATCCCATAGAAAAGTGACTCGCTAAAAAAAGTTAGCCAGAAAAAAAACAATTCAAACCAAAGGGTTTACAGTCTTCTAATTAAAATCACCTATTCGATTTGGAGAAAATCGAGTTTTTGAGTCTTTGTAAAAATTAAGTGGTGATAAAGAACATTCATTGTCATTTGGAGATCAGCAAAAAAATGAAGGTTTCTCATTTTGCTATTACTAATTGTTATTATCTAGAACGTTAGATTCTTAATATACCGCATATAACTTGAGCACTCGAACGCTAAAGACCCCCAAGTCACAAATAAGAAAACAGCAATAAACTGGGGAAAGTGCTTATTTGACAAGAATCAAAATGTACAGAAAATCATGGGTATTTATAGATATTAGCGTTTTTTAAATCAAAATCATAATTCAACCAATCCGAGAAGAGGCATGTTGTGCTACTAACCAATAGTAGGTTGCCACGTTAATATTCCAGAAAGCTTCATTGCATTCTGATTGAATATTACTCTTCCGCTCTTCTAGGACCTTTTACATCAAAATCCAAAGCAAGTTTGTGTGCAACAGTCTAAGGAATTATAAGCAAAGATGAATAGTGGCTAGCAGTGAAATTCAGGGCGCGCGTTTCGTCCTATTTGGGACTCTTCATTTGGATATACCTGCATCTCAGAGTTGATGTTTGAGGCGAATGGTACTGGGTTCGAGTCCCAGAGTGAACATTAACTCTGAGATGCAGGTACATCCAGCTGACGAGTCCCAAATAGAACGGAATGCGCATCCTGAATTCCACTGATAGCTACTACTTCTGTCAGTCTGTTCGAAAACTTTAAGTCTTTGTACTACGGTAGTTACCTTTATGTGAAACTAAACTTTATTCGCATCTAAATATGTAGGGAACTGAGATGTTTTTCCGTATTAAAATATTGTCATTATCGGGAAATGTAATCATCTTGATCAAGGTGAAATGTGAGAAATCATGTATATGCATTTTTGAGAGATCCGGTACAAATTAAACGACGCAGCTATTAACTTCATTTTCAGTTCCATTAGAAATCTTTTACCTTCGTACTAACATTATTCCACTAGCGGTCATAACTTTTTTCTAACACCTTACTTAAAACTGAGACAATAAAAATGGCACTTACTTACACTTACACCTGTTACTCCCAATGGAGCATAGGCCGCTGACCAGCATTCTCCAACCCACTCTGTCCTGGGCCTTCTTTTCTAGTTCCATCCAATTCTTGTTCATTTTTCTCATGTCTATCTCCATCTCTCGGCGTAATGTGTTTTTTGATCTTCCTCTTTTCCTTTGACCTTCAGGATTCCATGTGAGGGCTTGTCTTGTGACGCAGTTGGGTGCTTTCCTCAATGTGTGTCCTATCCACTTCCAGCGCTTCTTCCTGATTTCTTCCTCCGCTGGGATCTGGTTTGAGACAATAAAAAGAAAACTTATTTGTCATTTAATCGTTTGTTTAATTATTTTTTTAAAAATCAGGAATAAAGTAATCTATGACTCAAAACTAGCTACCACGAAAATAACCGATTTTTTCTGATACGATCTTATGCTAGGTCTCCCTAACACCTTCCTCCTCTCAAAAAATAAGACTTCCCGGGTCTATTTGCAGTTTAGTGACTGGTTTACGGTAGTGTTCGAACTTCATTGGTGTCCAGCGACTATGTGTGTCCCTGTCACAGGAGTATCTGTAATTATCTCTGGTGGAAGACTTACTCGTCTTTCTACCGTGTTCAACGTCTTTTTTCTCTGTGGATTTAGTTTATGTGTCTAATCCACATTCTAAACATCCCAAACACTTTGTACAAAATATTTTTTCACTCTCTTTCCAATGACTCCAGGTTCCCACCGATTTTTCCCAAGGTATAACTTGATGACCACTTTATCTCCTACATTTAAACGTCGGATAATCTAATGTTATCTGCGTTCATCCACTGATTTAAATGGCAACATGCCATCAAATATAGTCTGAATACTTCTTTCGAACATAGAGTCAGCAGGGGACTTTCCATCTCGGACAATATTATTGGACATAGTTTTATATGCTGTTAAGAATGTGAATTAAGGCTATATCGAGTCAATGCGCACAGTATGCATGTATGCCAATAACAGACTGATCAACTGCATCCCTAAATAACATTGGGAAGATCCAAGAAAAGCGATACGAAGTGAATTTAGACTGACAGAAGTGCTTTAAAAGTGTTTATAATAAAAGTTTAGAAAAAGGGGATATAGTTTACCTCTTTCAAAACCCTTTGTACGATATAATTTACATATAAAACAGATTTTCTAATCAATTTCCTAGACTAAATTCACTTGGTATTGTTTACTTGAATCTTCATATTGAGTTCGAGTCACAGAGTGAACATAAAATCTCCGATGCAGGTACATCCAGTTGACGAGTCCCGAATAAGATGAAACGCGCGTCCTGGATTTCACTGCTAGCCACTATCATCTTTGCTTATAATTCCTTAAACTACTTATGTCGAAATAAGTAGCATGCACCACACTATGGTTTACGATGACGTCTAATACTGTACTTGATCACTAACGCGAACAACGCTGATCAGCCATGAAAAATAAAACAAAAGTGTACAATTGTCCATGTAAAAGTAGAAAATACCTGGAAACCACTCATACAATGTGAATAACTTGACTCAATTGCGAGATGACAGCATCACTATTTAAACCAGTTATCTGATGAAAACGTCTTACTGCCGTTACACTCCTGTACAGTCATCAGTCCAACCTCATTCTCCTATCTTAAGTTGCTACTTTTACTCTTACCGTTCTCCAACCGACCTGCTTGGGATGAGTGGACTACAGGAACAAGTAATCCACCCAATATAGCTTTATCGGTTCATCACGTCAATGTAGCGGCTACATTATCGGAAATAAATAATGACAAAAAGAATTACAGCATAGAAACTATATTCTGAAAATTCAATAAATTAATAAGCTTCAGTATGCCTAATGTTAGCTGCATCACGCAATGTGTATGAATGCTGAGTGACTAAAACCGAAATAAAGTTTTCGTGAATAGTTTTGTTTCATTAGCTAATCATCATGTTTTAAAACATATTCATGAAATGTTCCGCATTTCATATGACCTACGAAATAGATCCACTTGATAAAAATGATCAACTTTTGTATCGGTTTTAAGACTATTTAAAAAAATGCGGTAGAAATTTGAGGTGGGTAAAAGTAATGTGAGTATGTTAAGATGTAATTATAACGACCCATAAAAATTGGAGCTGGTGCAAATATGTATCCTAACTACTAAACGAAACCGCGTAAAACCATTACCTAGAAGCAAATGACACTAAACCACTGGACGGCCGTTTCGTCAGATCGTGGGACTCCTTAGCAGTGCGCAACTACAATCCAGCAGGCGGGATTGTCGGAAATCTTAGAGAATGGGATGGTGTAGTTTCATTCTGCCGTCTGATCGAAATTTCTTCAGGAAAACATTTGAAATTCTTAGAAATAAACAAAGTTTAAATACTCCTTCACTAGTCGATTGTCTAATCACATTCTGAAGATGCTTTAGTATTCTGTGTGAATTCGAGTTTGTTAGTGTAAGATCTGTTCAAAGTGTAACAACTTTCACCTGATCTATGTGTACGTGATTTGTTTCATAATTCAATGGTTATTTAGTGAAGATCATGTTCATCATTCTTGTAATTAGAAATTGTATGTAGTCAGGAATAAACTGAGCTTGTAACGCTAAGCGTTGATTGATAAATAAACATTAATCTGTATATACATTTCTATCCCAGCCAAAATCAGTAAAAAAACATATTGAATAACCAAACAGTTGAATGTGATTTAATTATATCCCTTGCCACAATGATACGCAGAATTTTTAGTCCCGAGCGTTGGGAAGACCCAGAAAATTCCACCGAAAATACCCAAAGGGGTTCTGGAAACACTAGGAAACATCTTATTCAGTCAGTATTGAATAGAAGTTTCTCAGAAATATTCAGAAAGTGAAGTCACATTTCTGATTGGATGATTGCCTATTCTGTTATGGTTGGTAGAGCTTTCCAGAGGCCCAAGGCCATCCGAAATACTATAAATACCCTCGATTTTCTGCACATAAACAAACCTTGAAGTAAAGCGTTCTTTCCGTGTAACGCTTCTTTTCTCTCAAGTTCAAGCTAGCCTGGGCTTGTTAGATGTTATAAAATCTATACAAACGTTAAGTCAGAAGATTTGTCAATGGAGACGGAGAAATCTACAATGAACTTCTCTTTTAAACAACTGGGAGTCTATATGGAGTGTCAAGAGAAAGAATCATGGAAGCTCTTGTGCAGAAAATGTGCATGTCCCAGCAAAACCCAGCTTCTGGTGCACTGCAAGTAACACATATAGATTCCGTCATTAATGTCATCCATGAATTTAACTTTGATAATGTAACTTTCGACTCATGATTCAAGAAATATGACGATCTGTTCCATATTGATCTCTGCAGACTGGATGATGCTTCAAAAGTCAAAATACATTCAAGAAGACTTTTCACGACAGAATACAAACGTTCTGGTAACTTTGTTCTTCCGAAGAAATCATGAGACTTGAGTTTTGATGAAACGATTAAAACCCTGTCCCAAATCTTTGGAAAACAGTCATTTCCGCTTAACATCCGTTACCAATGTGTGAACATAACTAAAGAACCAGGACATGACGGAATGTGACATTCAGGAATCGTCAACCGAGAATGAGATGTTCAAGTTTTTCTCCATGACAGAAGATCAATTCAAATGCCTTGTATTTGTCTGTAGTGTGCATTCACCCGAGATGTTGATATCCAAACAAGAATCCTAAGCAAACTTGGGTATTATCCTAGCATTACCCTACAAGAAGTAACTACCGAATACCAAAGGGTAGTGAATTGGAACCATGATACCTCGATGGTAGAGAATGGTAACCGGTTCCTTTACGTCAGTGCAGTCGAGAGACGTCTTACGACGTTCTAGCACGCGGAATTATCGTAATGACAGCGACAGACCATCATCCATATGCCGGTTATTTGGCGGTTAGCATTTCAAAACGTTCTGTCCGTTTAAAACTCATCGTTGTACTACGTGTCTTACAAAAGGGCACAAAGAAAGTCATTGCGAAACGCGGAAACGCGTCGGCATAGTAGAATAAACTGTTTTTAATCCTAGCGGATCCATTCACGAAATGACCTCAAATTTATGCTATGACAAATCACACAGCTAGTGAAACAATCAGCAAGTCATAAAAATGGTTTGGCTTTTTCGAAGTTCCGGAGACGTTAGAGACCGATAATGGCTCACAATTCACTTCAGAATCTTTCAAGTACTTTTGCAGCCTTAATGGAATTACACATATAAGCTTTTCACCTTATCACCCTCAATTAAATGGATAGGTAGAGCGCTTCGTGAATGGATCCGCTAGGATTAAAAACAGTTTTTTCTACTATGCCGGCGAAATCTTCATGCAGCCTCTTCCAGGGACTATTGGGCTTTTTCCATTGTCGTGGTTCATATTTCTTTGAACTTTTGGCTGCTTGTAGGCACAACGAACAATTGAGGCATCTAGTTTTGATATCTTGATCCACTGTAGGTCAGTAAGCATAGCTTCAAGCCAAAATTGCATCTTATTGATGCCCGGATGGCCGCTATGGAATTGTCTTGAAACATTTTGGTGTAATGTTTCTGGAATAGTGATTCTGTTACGGAACATAATAAATGAATCGACAATCATGAATGAGTCCCGCCGCAATTCTCCTTGAAAACACTGGTTCGGCCGCTTGGTGAGAAGGTAACCACTAACTTCTATTAGTGTCTTGTCATATTCCATACCTTCTTTGATAGCTTTGAAAATATCTGGTAGACCATCAACTGTGTCTTCTAACACTCGATATACTTCTGTTTCCGTCCGAATTGCTGTCACTAAAACATCTCGTTTCACTTGAGAACTGATCAGTCCAGACAAAACGTCAACTTGTCCAAAGTCAGTAGTGCGCTGTTACTTAATTTTGAAGTCGTAACCCAAGAATGTGGTTTCTTATCGTTGCGGTCTGTTTGCTGTTATACCAGAATCACATTCTTTGACCCAAACGTGACCAGCAATAGCTTATTGCCAGTTAAGAGCGTAAACTGGAGTCTAAATAACATTTTGTGGAACTTCTTTACATCGAAGATAATTGACAGTGCTTCTTTTTCGATCTGACCATACTTAGGTTCTGCTGTAGTTAACGATCTAGCTGCATGAGATATGGCTTTCACAAATCCATCGGCCATGATGTGGGATATAATTGCTTCCATGCCGTAGTTTGGAGCGTCTGATACTACTATAATAGGTAAGGATGGGTTGTAATGGGTAAGCGATCCCATTTTATATTCTTCGCCAGAAGGTTATTTAACGCATAGTTTTCACTACCTGGGTTTGGCTGACTGCTATCTTTATCGACTGTGAACCCGAGGTAGCGTACCTTTTGCATGCAAAAGTTGCATTTTTTT